AGCGTTAGTCTACGTAAACGTATCTGTTATAACTGGCTTAGTCTGTCTCACAATCCCTGATTAAGCTAACTAACGATGATTCATTCCTGTTCAATAGACACATAGCCACGTTGTGTAACCTAGCTGATATATAGTCTAAGACGCAATACGGATACGTTCAAAAGTGTTGAGTCATGGTTGTAGTGTACAACACGTTGTTGTATAAGTATTGACATTCAAAGATCTCTCTACCACCTCTCCTTGACCGCTGACTTTATCATACGCGACAGTCGAGATAGTGGATTATATGTGCCCATGTAAACTCTATCTCTGATAGCTGGTTATATATGATTCATTGTCAGACAGATATCTCGAAAAATCTAGCATCTCCGATTGATAACGCTACGTGGTGCATTGTTTAGCTTCTAATATATATGACGAGGAAACTTTCGTGGAAAATGTTGTCTGCCTGACGCCCGTGTAATGTCGTCTGCTCCCAGCATATGAAGAAGCCCTATGACAGCCACGTCAAACTTCAAATGGCGCGCGGTATGACTAGACAGTCAATGACAAGGATAACTGCTTCTGGCTGGTATGGGAACTTCAGGACGGTATACGGGAGTGGGGCTGTTTTTTCTTCTTAGGGACCGTTCATAATTTATGGCTAGGGGGGTGATGATTTTTATGGAGAAGCATGTACAATGTGAATGACCCCCCCTAAAACTTAGGTACAAAGTAAGTGACCCCCTCTGCATGTACAAAATTGCTGACCCCCCACCACCCCTAGAAACATGTGTACAAAATTGATGACCTCCCCTACCTCCCCAGAACAAAATGGGTGACCCCCTCCTTATAATTATCATAACACACACACACACCCCACCCATAAATTATGAGCGGTCTCTTAGGATTCTTTGGTCATTTTTTATTGTAATTGAATTTAATAAGACTATTAATTTCACCACCAACTACGAAGATCTTCACTTCAGCTGACGATTTGTCTTTCCACTAATTTAACTAAAACGGTTCAGCGGGGTAGCCTAGTGGTTAAAGCGTTCGCTCATCACGCCAAAGACCCGGTTCGATTCAAGACATGGATACACTGTGTGAAGCCAGTTCCTTGTGTCCCCCGCCGTAATATTGCTGGAATATCGAGGCATTCACTCACTCAGTTAAACTAAATAACGCAAATAAACAACACAATTAATATCAATAAAGATTTTGTATAACTTTGTCAGAGTCGCTCTCTAAACCAACATGCGTGCAACCGTAAATATTCGGTCCCTTCTGCATACAACCATGTCAACATACATGCCCCGAGGAAGTCATCACGCAAATGTGCTAGTACACAGTCATTAAAATATTTGCGTATGAATCTACCTTTCATCAAAGGCCTTCAACCAAGATATTCGATCATGTTGATTTGTTATGTGAACACAGAGTGTTAATTTTCAACGAACATTTGGAGTGTACACTCGTGAATGAATTTTGTGAATACCAAAACAGATGCGGATCCAGACGGGGGTTGCGGGGTGCATTTGATAACATTTCCCCTAACCTTTGGACTTCATGATTTCTGTGCAACCCCCAACCCCACACACACCCACCCCCAACACACACACCCAACCCCTTCTCCAAAATCCTGGATCCGCCTCTGCAAAACATGTCGTACCAAAATCGGGCAACTCTCACTAAATATCTGGATTTCATGACAACTATCAAAACGGCATAGATGCAGCGTGTTTTCAGAAACTGAAACAGACGTCAATTCCGTAGATAATTATTTTCACATTTCCAGGTCTAAAATCAATCTGACTTTCGCATAAAATAGACTCCATATACATCCTTAACAGTTATCCTTGTCAGCTACAGTCGAACACGTGTTGTTGTACCAGCTTGTCCCGAACAAAACGTGGATGAAATGGACTCCTCTGCGTCTGCAAAGAGAATAGACTAGCTACTAGATCGATAGATAAAATCAATAGGTTATAGAAATATCTATCGATCAATATAACGCCCCATGTGCGGAAACGGAAGCATGGCTGTTGCAAAATCTGTGCAAAACGATAGAGCCTGATTACATATGGTGACTTTAATCGCCAACACCTCCGTGATAATTAGGACGTGTTTGTACATAACAGGTCCTACTAGAGGAGCGGCTCTGAAACGCATGATTCAACAACACTCAAGATGAAGTATTTAAAAGATTTGATATGAGGCCGTGACTTGTTTCAAGAGCATAGGATTATGAATCGCTGACGATTTCCTTTTACATTGTCGTATTTATATAGATGATATTTAAATGAACGTGATTTTATGAGGTTTCTGTAGCAGCAATATTCAAAGTAAGCTATTATTATATTACGTAAAAATCAATAATCTAATTGTTTGTTTTCCATCCACGTAAATAGACCCGTACATTTTTTAACAGCACAAGGTATATCTTGGCGGGTGTAAGGAACCAGTGCTTTGGTGAGAAGGAAGGAATGTTGTTTATTGCGACGATATTGCTGCTGTATCAGGACAATCTGTAACAAAACAAAATCAGCTTGGACTAAGCAAACCCGTGATTGATAGCATGGGCAACGGTCAGCGGCATTGCGTTCCTATCCACGTCACAACATGGCCATGCATTTCAGTTGAAAAGCGAAAATGGGAGAGTGAATGCTGTCAAAGGATCTGTACATACTATTATATTGACAAATACAGACTGGATACTTGGACATGTAATCACCACGTCGGGTATGTCTACCTAGTCCACTTACCTAGTCCACAGTTTGTTGTTGTTTGAAGGGACACTCAGCAATAAGAGTCCCTCCCTGTTTGTTTGTGGCGTAATTGTGGCGTAACTATTGACTTTTACATAATAATAATGCGAAGTGTACGTTCCACATTTCATTATCTACAGTTTGGTACCTTCTGAAAATGAAATCCATTGTGTTTTCGCAGAGATGTGAACCCTATAAAAATGCGTTTTGCCAAAATGTACCAACTTCCAAGGGCAATACCTCCGACACTATTCAAGATATCGACATGCCTTGAGCAAACTAAGTAGTCCGGAGTGTGGGCATTAAAACGATATATAGAACACTATTGTACTATTTGCCGTTCAGGAGGAGAAGATTGTTAAACACAGGCACCGTCAAAAAGTGCGGAAATGTGAAAAATCGCGAAGGTTGTGTTTGTGTCGTAATGGTGACGTAATTATTGATTTTTACATAACCATGATGTGAAGCAAAATGTTTCCCATTCAATTACCTAGAGGTTGGTACTTAGGAAAATGGAATCCATTGATTTTTCGCAGAGTTGTGACCTTTTTTTAACCCTATGAAAATGCGGCTTAAAAATTGACCAAATTCAAAGGGTGATAACTCTTAAACTATTCAAGATATCGAGTTCGGTGTGTGGGCTTTAAAATGATATATCGAACACGATTGTACTATATGCTCGTTCTGGAGAAGAAGATTTTCCGGTATGTGTTGAATCGACGGGGAATGGTGTTGTCTACATTGAGTGAAAATTTGGTCCATTTATCTCTTATAGTTTTTGAGATATTGAGGTTGAAACATTTCGACATTTTGGGTTCTCTGCCCTTACCGGAAGCCGGACGTCAGGATTTTTTTTGACTATGTATCAATTTCAGCATACAGGCTATCATCTCTGAAAGTTTCATGAAAATCGACCCAGTAGTTAGTTCAGCCTGAGCTGGCACAAAAATTGTACAAATAATAAGAAGAATATTCGGATAATAACAGTATGTCTTCCACATTTCGTCTGAATACCTAATAATAATATGTACATTACTATAGCCATCAATTCACACAGTAGTATGCTCTGTGCGCTGCTCAGACATGGTGTTTGTTAGAGAAATGTCTTTTGAAAGACGTAAGTCTCTAGATTATTTTTGAAGGAAGGCAGTGTTTCAACTATTTTGAGGGATGTAGGCAGCTCATTCCATACAGTTGAGGCAGCGTAGGCGAATGTTCTTTTACCAAATGTGACTGTTATACTTTGGAACTGTCAAGAGATGCTTGTGCTAAGATAGAAGAGATGTGATGGCAGGAATTAACCTTATATGCAAGTTTGACAGCATCTTGCCTGCCGCTAAACAAGCATATGATCTATGTAATCGGGATCTTCACTTGTAGCTTTCAGCAATAGATGAAGAGACACAATGTCCTGACACCAGAAATAGGCTCATCCATGAAGGAGACTGAACAAGGGAAATTGGCATAAGGAACTAAAGTTTTAACCACTGGCTGCCCTAATGTCTAAATGGTAATAAAACACTTGCATTATAGTATTTTACTCATGCGGAAATGCACCTAATACATAGTGATGCCTACCTACATATATACCTGCGTTTCTTCACACCTTTAATCTGGTCCAGACTTGGCCAACCAGTGGTCAATGGCATGAGCAACGACTACATTTTCAGGGCACACTGACACCAAGTCTGATCACCAGAGTAGAGACAGTGATATTCTACCTCTGATTCCCAACAGGTGAGGTGAGGGGAAATGGGGTTTAAGGTCTTACTTGAGAATAGTTCGCTCATATGATGAGGTATGCCATATGTGTGTATGTGTGGCTGTTTGTACTAGCCCAGACCTATGCTGGTTTTATAGTGCTAGCCCACTGAGATACCATGCCTCAGTGAAGCATGAATACCCCACTCAGACACATTATACTGACTCCGAGCTGACCAGTCCTTGTTGTACCCATTAATGCCGAGCACCAGGCAGGCCAGGGACCACAACGTACCATATCTTTTGGTATGAGGCTCTGGCGGATCGAGTCCCAACCCTCAGCTCTCTGGGCTGATGCTCTAACCACTACACCACAGAGGTGGATGATTCCCAAAAGGGTATTTTGCAGTTGGTCACACATCAGATACTTTATTTGAAGCCATTGTGACCACACAAGACCATAAGATCCATCTAATCCTCACTCCAGTCCACAGTCATCTCCTAAATTGTTCCAAAACAGTTGCATGTGTACAGATTTACAACAAAACAACATTCAAAATGAATAAATCCTTTTTTTATTTTGTCTTGATGTTTTCAAGACTCAAAGTGATATTTACAATGACATTGATAATTACACAGTTATAAACGTGATATTGAAGCCATTCATGCCCACCATACAAGGCTTCACCAACATCACACAAACACGCAATATTTGAAAAATAAGTTGAGTTAATAATCAATTGATTCTTGTTTATGTTTACATAATAGAGTGAAATATCAAGCAATGATAGATCACACCATGTGAATAGAATCATAAATCTGTCTGAGACGATTATTGTATTGGTTAGAACTTTGAACAGCACCATCAGCAAAGACCAAAGTTGGTCCAGGGGAGATAACTCCTTACGTTTTGCAGTTAATTGAAGCAAAATGGTTTCAAGTTGTTCACACTGTTTGTCTGTTAACTGAAATATTAGGCAGTAGATTAATTTAGCACTAAACATACTAGATATTACAATAACCATACACTCTGTAAAGATCACTTGTCTCTTCCAGGCAACCTTCAACTCAATGATAAATATCTTTACTACCCCTGTCCAAGGAGCAAGTAGGAGATTCACAAAACACACATACAGGTCACATCCTTATTAGGACCACATGTTTCTATTAAGTCATAATTCCATAATTCTCACAAAAACACATTATTGTCCTGCTGTTTGATGGAATACTTATCAACCTCAATTATCCCATAATAGATCTAAAATATGCTTAAATAGTTTCAAACTTGGAGGAATTGAATCCCCATGAGTGCCAACCCAACAGTTCTTTTCTGATAACGCTTACTATTTATTTCACTATTTTAACAATGATCTACACAACATTCTGGAGGTATTGAATTCCTGGTTAAATTTATTGTCCCTCCTGTTCAAAATACATTGCACCTTTACCTCAAAATATTTGAAAACCACAACCTAGCACATATGTTGTGAAACATTAAAGACCAGAAACAGACATGCAGACAGCAGTCCAAGATATGGTTCAATTGTACACCCTGGGCTGATCAGTCACGCGAACTTTCACAGCATTTATCACAATCAAGGTCCCTCTTCTGATTACATATTCGCCATAGGACTAGATTGAAAAGTGCATCTCAATCAAGTGCTTTCCAATTCAAACTCTGAGAACTTTCAAGTGGAACAGATATATCCCTGAGAACTAAAACAGGGAAGCGAAGCCATAATGCTACAAGAAATTTCAGCTGTATTTGAGCTGGCACACAAATGTGAGTGAGTATGGTTTGCACCACTTTTAGCAATAATCCAGCAGTATCACAGCCGGGGACACCAGAAATCAAAACTGGCCTACAGAGTTGATGATGATGATTTAGAGATTTTAAATGCACTTTCTGGCATGACACATATTTCACACATGGTCTTCAGCATGGTGAGCAAATGATTTAAATAGTACACTACACGACCCAACACAAAAAACAAGTCAAAGTGATGTTGCTACTTGAAAGGACAATGTAATTTGATTTGTCAATTATCAAAATTAAGTCATACAAACTGGTCGAAAAAATTTTACAGCAATGATTGTGAATTTGACCAGGTTATTAATCAGACTGGAATGGAGACATTAGGACAGGACAATGGAGAATGGGTCCAGCTGACATGATCACTTACATCCAAGACCACACACAAACTTTCTTTCATCGTTCACCAGAGGCAGAACCTTGTCATTGTGTTGGAATCTGTGATGTCACAGAGTCAAGAGGGAACCAGCGAGATTTCTCCAGAGCTTCAAAAAATGCCTGAAACAAGTAGAATCGCATGGATGTTACCAAATCAGTCATCCTAAACACCCGAGTCATTCGAATATAAACTTTTGTGAAAAATGTAACAGAATTGTTCCTGCTTAAATGGGCCATATATGTTTAGGGCTGATAACATACTTGGCCTGGAATTGTACACTTGCCCCTGGGCAAGCATTTCTGATGCAAGTCAACATTAAAATTTCATATTACTGAGAGTGACAGCCTAAAGCAGCATTTACTCACTTCACTTGATTCCATAAATTCTCGGTTCTCTTTGTTGATGTTCACTTCTACACATGGATCTGGAAAAATAAAGACCCGGGTTAGAATTGATCTTCAGTAACCCATGCTTGTCGTAAGAGGCGACTAACAGGATCAGGTGGTCAGGCTCGCTGACTTGGTTGACACATGTCATCGGTTCCCAATTGCGCAGATCGATGCTCATGCTGTTGATCACTGGATTGTCTGGTCCAGATTCAATTATTTTCAGACCACCACCATATAGCTGGAATATTGCTGAGTGCGGCGTAAAACTCAACTAACTCACTCACTCAATAAAAAAGAAAAGATAGTTCCATGGCACTTTAGCTCACCTAAATTTATTTGTGTTTAATTCCGCACTAAGCAATATTGCAGCTACATGGCGGTGGTCTGTAAATAATTGAGTCTGGACCAGATAACCCAGTGATCAACAGCATGAGCACTAATCTACGCTATTGGGATACGACAACATATGTCAATCAAGTAAGTGAGCCTGACCACCTGATCCCTTTGGCCAGGTGAGTTAATGATGGCGTTAAATCTATTGTCAATACTTATAAGCATTCAAGTTGCACATAAGACAATCCCTTTAAAAATATAAAGCCATATGATGGTAGCTTCAATCATTTCAATGGGGTTGCAAATAAGGCCATGTTAAAAATCAAATTGGAATTCTGGAAGGTGACATGTTAGGGGTGAAACGGTATACCGCGGTATTAGTAGAACCATGGTATTTTGCCTTCTGTTTGGTATACCGTAATGCAATCCAAAAATTCAGGTATTTTCAGTTTTATAACCGTCACTTTATTAACCTTTTGAAACCTTTTCTAAAATGGAATCATTTTGTCAAAATCTATGCATTTCTTTGCTAGAAGGCCGCTATTTTCCCGGAAGTTAGTTCTCATATACTGAACCAAAACGGACTGAACCGAAGACCTTGTACCGCAATACGTACCGTACCATGGTAAGAGCGTACCGTTTCACCCCTATGACATGCCACAATTTTTGTTAGAATTTCATAATTTCGAACACTCCTTTGCTATACCAGTAATGATTAAAATCATTTGATTTTCATGCAAAGATTTAAAATTTGTGTTAATGCAGATATACCAGAAGCAAAAATAAAAATATAGCACGTTTTTGTGGGGTCTTTTGGGCTTAGTATTGTTTTATATATCAACAAGACATAATTGAGATTTCTGCAACATCAGCTCCTTCTCAACACTTCAAAGACAGAAATTGAGAAACCTCCAATAAGTATAGCTTCTGACATAAAATATAGCAACCTTACAATAAAAAAATATATGTAATGAAGAAAACTTCAACAACAAAATAATAAAAAAATGAACAGATAAATCTACAAGAAAGAAAGTAAGAACCACAGATAAAAGACAGGTTTACCTTCTAAAGCCTCCATGTCTTCATCATAGGACTGCCCATAATAGTCCTAGACAAACAAACATCACATCAACCTTCAAATCCATGTTGAGAAGATTATTCAACTTTATCACAGCAATACTCAAGATGTTATGGCATTTGTTTCTGTGACATTTTAACAAAGAGGTTTGATTATTGTCTGTGCAAATCAAGCTTATCTTTAACGACAGAAAATCCAGGGCACATAATGATAAATAATGTTGCTGTCACAGCTGAAATAAACCTTAGAGTTAACAAGCAGGAAACATAGCTCTTAATATCATCATCATCATCATCATCATCATCATCATCATCAAGCTTGACCATCAATCACCAAACATCATCATCAATCACCAAACATCATTTTCACGCTCTTCATCCCCATCAGTGAGGATGTGAACTCTTACATGGGCATCCGGGTGGTGTGATGAGCTGCCGGGGTGCATGTGGTTGTAGTTGTAGACGTAGGACCCCCAGGAGTAGGGGCCAGAGTAGTAGCTGTTATGGTGAGGGTAGTAACCAGAGGATGAAGAGTAGGACCCACCTCCGTCAGACAGCCTGCAGTAAGCCAGTTGTCTCATGTAGACAGTGCACATATATGGCAGGGTTTTACATTATACGAAAATGTGGATCTCATACACACAAATTATGAAAAGGGCCAGAACAAAACATACACTGTATCACAATGCAAAATGATATTCAAATGAATATACTCTTGACCAGAAATATGGCGGTCCTGTACATAAAGTAATTATCAAACAACACAGTACAGTACGCTGCGCCATTTCATTACATTACTTGACTTTCTTTTTCCAGTAGCCATGAAATTTGTAACAGAGGTCCACTGGACCAATAGTTTTGAAGGTCAAGGTAAATGCCTGATATAGATTTATAGAATAAACTGGGACATGACCTTTAACCTGACATATTATCAAGTCAAAATAGAGATAACAGAAGAGGGCAACCCCTAAAAATTATGAAGTAATAGTAGACCGTAGGAAAAATTTAATGTTGGAAAAGTTGATTAAACTATGTAATAAACTTATAAGAAATCAACAGCAACTGGCTGGGGTTTGCACAAGGTGCCATGTTGTTCCTCACCTTTTTGGCGATGCTAGACTGACTCGGATTGGTTTACGCCCTATGCCAGTCATGTGCTGCATCTCAATGAGAGCCCTCTGCTGGTCAGTTTCCTCAGAGAAGCGGACAAACCCATAGCCCTTCGTGGAACCAGTTGAATCGAGAACAACTGGGGACACAAGTATAGACTGACATCAAGACAAGTACAGCATCACATGGCAAGCCACGTGAGTGAGTTAGTTTTACACCGCACTCAGCAATATTCCAGCTACATGGAAGCGGTCTGTAAATAATCGAGACTGGACCAGACAATCCAGTGATCAACAGCATGAGCATCGATCTGCGCAATTGACATGTGTCAACCAAGTCAGCGAGCCTGACCACCCAATTCCGTTAGTCGCCTCTTATGATAAGCATGGGTTACTGAAGATCAATATTCTAAACCCGTACCTTCACGGGTCATGAGCTACATGAAGGCTGATCTAATATTTCCTGATAGCTAAGGAATCAGTCTGGGAAGACAAGTATACAGACTTGAGAATGGCAAAGCACAAAAAGCACTGAAAATTTAGCCACGGATCTTGGGGGGTCTTTTATTGCAGATTAACATCAATCTCAAAGACATTCAAATGAAAACATAAATCCCAGAAATCTGCGGATCCGTGGAAAATTCTCATGTCTGAGCATACTGTGTTACAATTAATGAGCCTAGGGTTTTCATGTAGGAATTAATAAACAACTGTTCATACATACGTTTGTTGTTTAACGCTGCACTCAGCAATACCCCAGCTGTATGATTAATGATAAAAAACTGAATCTGACAGACAATCCAGTGACTGACATCATGAGCATCTATTCACATGGAATATGATGACAAGCATCAGCCTAGTCATCAAGTCTGACCATTATATCCCATTATTCTCCCCTTGTGTTCCTGGAGACCAACCCTCAGCCAGGAAAACACTCCACCTGCTGTTGTTATCAACTGGTGTAGAGATTCTGCAGCCCTGTGGGCTCATAAGGCTGTTTCAGCAGTACACAACTACACTCAGTGCTAGGTTCAGCAATACCTTTGGCAGCTCTAACAGATCTGTACCTCCTGGCAAAGGCGTTGTACAGCTGATAGTCATCAACATCACTTGACAAATCACCAACAAACAAGGAAAACTCAGGTCTGAAATGTAAAGTCAGTACAGGTTTACAGGTCTGTATGGTATACTGGTATATGGCAATACCCACTTCAAACAATTCATACTCCAATACATTATTTTACAGTCCTGGTATATTGAGTAAAATATTGTGATTATCTCTATAGTTCAAATTAATCTACACAGACTTTCATTCAAGATAGATGTTTCTTCCCTTCATGATTAATTGACAAAATGGCATATTTTACGCTCTAAAACTTATAATATATAAAAAAGAAAAATTCCATAATTATCCAAGTGTATTTGAGATTGCTGTTATCAGAAAAGTACTGGCTACATATTTTAGGTCCTTTGTATGTCGAAGTGAGTGGTTTGTTGTTCAATGCCACACTCAGCAATATTACGGCTATATGGTGGCGGTCTGTAAATAATCAAGTCTGGACCAGACAATCCAGTGATCATCAGCGTAAGCATTGATCTACGCAATTGGGAACCGATGACATGTGTCAACCAAGTCAGCGAGCCTGACCATCCGATCCCGTTAGTGACCTCGTATGACAAGCACGGGTTGCTGAAGATCAATTCTAACCTGGATCTTTACGAGTCTTTGTACATAGAAACTGGGATCTGCTTGTACAATCAGTGTCAGTCATTTACAAACACTTCAACTTCAAATATATCCAAATACAAATCACAATATGGATACCAGTGTTGTGACATACTATATTATATTATATTTTAATGTAAAATTGTTAAAATGGTGCATGAGCCACCAAAGTAAAATACGAATTTGGACCAGTAGTTAAAAAGCATGTACATCAGAAAAGAATTCACACTGTAGCCCATTTGACATTACAATGAATGCTGAGGATATGTCTACTTTTTAAAATTACAAATATGTTTAAATAAAACATAATACCTAGATCCAGCACTCATCCTTAGCCACAAGTCTACAAACTAAGAAGTCGAAAAACAAATTTTGAGAACTGAACAACTGTAACCCATATTTTGAGTATTTTCAAGCAAAGCTTTCAAAGGCTGAGCAAGTATCCTGAACAAGTCATGCTTGGTGATGGTCAAGGGGAGATAACTTCTGAGTTTGCTACGAATTCATACAATTGTTTACCTCACATAACTAGGTTTTCCTAAAATTTAAATTTAAAATGTACAACAAAAAAGCATGCTGTAACAAGTTAGGTAGAGCAATGTATGATCATCATCACAATGCATTTATTTTCTCGGGAGACTCAAAGTTATCGATACAACCATATATGATGTAAACTACTCACAATAGCATATGTTCTTTCCCATAACTGGCTGGGTTCAGCTTGAACCGTCTCGGCTGAAAAATAAAATGTATCATTAAAGTACATCAAAAATGCCATTGAGTAGTTGTAACATGTACAAACGAAATTATATATTTAAAACTTATATTCTATTACAATTAGACATGTAATCATAATATATTTCCCCTAACATTTTGGACCTTGGTTGTGTGGTTATTTCTTACAATAGTTTAAACCATAAACAGGGGTAATTGGTTTGTTTAGTTCCCTTTGTAGTAAGCTTTTACCCGATATTCTTGAAACATGTCAGTGTGTTCTATTATGAAATTTGAATTCTGTATGTTTTAACAAAAATTGGTTGGACTTATTAAAAAAAAACAAACTTTTTTAAACAAGCCATCTTAAAACTGTGGATTGTATAGTAAAACACAACTAGAAAGCAATGGCTTGCTTGATGTTTATGTAAATGGCAAGAGTTAGCTCCCGTTACACTGATCTGCAGTTTTTCAACAGAATACATTTTTCATAAAGTGCTTATTCATTTGTTTAAAACTTTCTCAAAGTCAACCAAGTAACAGAAAAAAAAACACCAATAGGAAATGGGATCAGATTTTGTAATTTGGCAAATTGTGTTCAGCAATTATGCAATTTTGTTGCAGATACATCACCAGATGAGTGGAACATGGTGTTGTCATATTTTTACTCTCAGTATACTCAATCAGCTGTGGATGTGTGCTCCGAAAAGGGGTGTGTATAACTCGGAATCCCCATGAGGATCTGCGTGGCTGAAGATCTTGGCTTAGTTTCAGTTTTCTTATTTATTGTTTAACGTCACACTCATCAATAGTCCAACTATGTGTAAGTAATCAAGCCTGAACCAGACAATCCAGTGACTGCCATCATCAACATCGATCTACACAACTGGGATACGATGACATGTATCAACTAAGTCCTCGAACCTGACCACCCGATCCCATTAGTCGCCTCTTACGACAAGCATGGGTTACTGAAGACCAATTCTGACCCAGATCTTCTGGTCGGCTTACTTACAGGGTTGCTGCCAGGGATGATCTTCCCATTGAGTTTCAACATGGCTCTGTTGGCAGCATCCGCATCACCAAACTCAACAAAGCAATATCCAGCCAAGGCGCTGAAACATTAAACAAATAACAGCAATAAAGAAACATATCTGAAAGCAAAGGTGAAATCATTGACAGCAAGTTAACCTTAAAAATAACTGAATGAAATTAGCTGACTCTGAATGTTCTTTCCGTGACCACTGAAAACAAGAACACATGTAGAACACATTTTTGGGGATAATGTCTGTGTATTAGATTTTATGTAAGGCTCAAGAATGCATACATGAATATGATATGCATGCTGTAACTCATGTGGAAGCAAATAAAAAATTAAATCAATAAATATCATCATACAAAATGTAATCTTTTTGACATAGCAACATGCAATCACAAGTTCAATTAATCGGGAAGATTGGAACTTATGAGAAAGGTTCCAACCATCCATAGCATCAAGAGAAAGATGTCAAACATGTAAATATTGTCAACAAGAAGAAATCTTGATGCAAATTACCCTGTGTTCTTATGTTTGATGAGTTTTACATGCAGCACATTTTCTCCTAGCTGTTGAAACGCCCCACTGATGAACAACTCATCCATATAGGTATCCAACTGAAAACAAATGATAAAATTTATACATTGCACAAGTGAATGGAAAGTCTGAGAGTGGTGTTCAACATATTTTACACTGTCAGGCAGTGAGTGTGGACATGATCCTACAGATTGAATGGATTTCAAATTGCATGGATACTGAGGATATCAAATAGGGTGAATGCAAACAGCATTACAGCTTTGCTATGGGAGGAAAACATGCAGAGATGAAAAAAAACTCCAGTAAAAGCTTTGAGCAAGTGTAACCCCATGATAACTGGACTTTTGCATTACTAAGGGTTACAACTCTGCACAATGAACTCCTACACTTCAGACCTCTGGGTTACACAATGTTTTGAGTTTTATGGAGAATTAGCTACTGTTCAAGTGCAGAAAGGTATAGAACTTGGTGCTGATTAAGCAAGCACTAGTTATTTGTGATAACGCCTGTTGTCTCTCTCTCTCTTCCCTTGTAGGAACAAACCCTGCAAGGGGTGTAGCTGTTTGTCATAGGGTATTGTCTGATTAAATTCACTCATCAGCCAAACTTTGTTTCAGGCTGGCAATGTGAGTTTGATCCTATATGTGGTGCTAATTCAAATACAGATATGTGGAAAAATGCACTCTCATGAATAAGTCAGTGTGATCTATTTTCTTCAATGTCTAAAATGGTTTGAGCCTATCCATGTTTTAAGCATCATCACATGGGCAAGTTGGGGAGACTTTTGCAGTGTTATCCCCAAGCAGTTGATGAAGCGCATGGCACTAACAACAGTATCCAATGAACGGACAAAACACAGGTTTTGCATTTGAAGCCTAATGGACAGTTGTAAACCTCGAACCTTTTCTGTGAACTGATATCTGAACGAACGCATTTCATAAAATCTTTTGGCATGAAGCCTTTTTTGCAATGTTAAGTCTATTAATTGGGCTGCTCAGTACACGTACATTAATATAATGATACTCGTAAACTATTTTACTGAATCATTACAGATTGTTTGTGTCACCAAACACGTATATGCACAGGTGTGTCCATATACTAGTATACGTCTTTGGTGTCACTTATTATGCCAGTGAGTGATGCTGATAGTGTCACCAAATGCTCCATCGTATCAGCTGGTTGTGGTTATGCTTCACCAAATGAAATGTTTGGAAAGTGAATTATGCACAAGGTCAAGAGTTGTTGAGCAATGAATCTTTTAAAAAGTACACACGTCACCCATCCACAGCGAACTGCTGAGGGCCATACTGTACTGGTCAATTCACGAAAACTGCAACTTCTTGAAACCGGAAATGTGGTATTAACATATCTCTTTGCTTGAAGAGTTAATACACAGAAATGGTGACGTCATTTAATAGTTAGCAGTACGCATTTGCCACTTCGTTAAAAAAAATACACGTTAGCCTGACCCAAGGAAACATTATTCGGGGTTTTTTTTGTAACGACAAACTGATCACATTATTTATTGATACTGCAACTATGACATCCCGTGTTTTGCAAACACGGCAAAGAGGCCGTTACCTCCCTTGAATATACTTGAACTGATGACGACACATCGCCAGTCGTCGAGCACATGGTCGAAATGGAAAGCAGAGAGTTAGAAGTTGTTGTTGGAACGTACGAGGAACTTATTCTTGGCTATCGTTTATCACTCGATCCTGATGTATGCATTAGTTTAATCCATGTGGCTATGCTGCTTATCTGAATGCGAATTCCATCACTTTCTGTCTATGTTCCTCGCGAATAGCTGCATAATATTTGCTGATACAGTGATAGTGATACGACGTAATTAAAAGCAATCATTTTTATTCGGTTTATGTTCAATTCCTATTTTGAAATCGCGTTTCCTGGTGCCCTATATAGAATATCCCCAACAGAAAACTTGTTGATTTGGTCAAGTGTCTTCACCTTGCTGTAAATTACTAAATGTAGTTACCCTTCGACTGCTTTATGAAACACAAGACCATGGAATCAACTTACTTGAACTTTGTTGTATATAATATTACCATATTGTTTAATTTAAACATATTTGATGACAATAGGTATGTGTGCGTTTTGAAATTTAACATAGACAGAATATCCACCATAACTGGGACATATTTCTAAGGAACCCAGTATGTCTTTTATCAGGCATGTTGCATATGAAAAGATTAAAGCATTTATAAATTTGAATATATTTTATTTTCAGAATCATGTGTTCAGCCAGAGCTTCACAAACCACTCCCACAGTGGGAGCATCAAGGCACTGGCGATGTCCACAAAAGGCATCCTGGCTTCTGGGGGCACTGATGAAACCATCCGAGTGTTTAACTTGAGGAAAGGAACAGAGATAGGGTCACTTGTACATCATTCAGGTAAAAATAATTGGATTGGCATAGTTGGTGCAAGCATACTGAATACAATGGTACTGAAATGATTTGTCAAGATGGTGTTTCCGGTGTTCCATGTATGTGTTTTGAGCACCCTCTCAACCCACCTGTATTGTTTTTAGATGTAGTATCTGCAGTGTTTGTTAAAATTTATTTGTCCGGTTCTTGCTAAAACATTGTGACAAGAACTGATGGGGGTGGTAGTGACAAAACAAGTTGGCCAACCAAGACTAGGGTAAAGTGGGCATGAGGTGACATACATGGATAATGTTATACGCCAGTGTATGAAATAAGCTCCAAACCCAGCCAGAAATCAATGCTGGTAACTTCAAAATGTTGCCAGCCCAAAATGGATTTAACCAGAACAATCAAAAGAACTCTTCAGTGATGAATCATTCGCGCTGTGCATCAAGCTTATGAAACTCCTGTCTCATTTCTGTAATATTGAAATGTATATGCAGTGCTTTGAGTTTGCAATACGATAGTTCAATGTTCAAAAAGTAATTGTCAAGTCTAAATGTAATGCTTAATTTGAAAAATAGATTTTAGGATATGGTGAATTTACTCAAATGTATGGAACGTGTTATCTGAAATGTTACTAGAACCTCAGGCTCGTTAGCTGTGAATTTAGACCGTCAGAAATCTAGCCCATCTCGGGCAGTCGGATGGGCCTTGTTTCATACACTGGTATTCCCATGTATTATCAGTGGAGGTAAAGTTGCCGGTATAACAACTACTGATAGTTGTGTAACGTCACTCTCTGCAATATTCAGCTGTTTGACAGCTTTCTGTAAATAACCATGTCCATTCATAAACATAAGCATCAATCTATGCAATTCTTGGTCACTTACTGATTTTGTTTGAAGGTTCCATTACCTGGCTTGATTTCTACAATAACTCCCACCTGTTCAGCACATCCGAGGACCACAAAGTGTGTCTGTGGAAGACATTTTCCTGGGAGTGTCTCCGAACATTCAAAGGTCACAAGTGAGTTCTTTTGTGTAGCCGTTTTCTTTCCTAGTACGCCAAAGACCCAGGTTCGATTCACCACATGGGTACAATGTGTGAAGCCCATTTCTGGTGTCCGGTGATATTTTTGGAATATTGCTAAAAGCGTCATAAAACTAAACTTACTCACTCACTCTTTCCTAGTACGCCAAAGACCCGGGTTCGATTCACCACATGGGTACAATGTGTGAAGCCCATTTGTGGTGTCCGGTGATGTTGGAATATTGCTAAAAGCGGCATAAAACTAAACTCACTCACTCACTCTTTCGTAGTACGCCAAAGACCCGGGTTCGATTCACCACATGGGTACAATGTGTGAAGCCCATTTCTGGTGTCCTCCACCGTGATATTGTTGGAATATTGCTAAAAGCGGCATAAAACTAAACTTACTCACTCTTTCCTAGTACGCCAAAGACCCGGGTTCGATTCACCACATGGGTACAATATGTGAAGCCCATTTCTGGTGTCCAGTGATATTGTTGGAATATTGCTAAAAGCGGCGTAAAACGTAACTCACTCATTTTTCCTCAGTATTGTAGTCTTGTTCAAATACTTTTCCTCTGAAATTATCACTTGCATTAAGAAGTTGTCTGACTGATCTGTTAACAACTGTTTTGTATGCCTCACAGTATCTCAGAAAAGTCAACCAGCTTCTTATGCATGTGGCATCAGGTTTCAAGACATTACTCTTCTGATGGCCTGGATCTGTTTTTTTGCTCAATGGATACTTTACTGCCTCTAATCACTTAGTTTAGGGAGGGCGGTTTGATCACCAGGCCACATCATGCAGAAACTAACAGGATCGGGTGGTCAGACTCGCTGACTTGGTTGACACATGTCATCGGTTCCCTAATGCGCAGATCAATGCTCATGCTGTTGATCACTGGATTGTGTGGTCCAGACTCGATTATTTACAGACCGCCGCCATATAGCTGGAATATTGCTGAGTGCGGTGTAAAACTAAACTCACTCACTCACATCCTGCAGAAAGACTTGAAGGATCTAACTTCTTTTTACCCAAGAATTTGACATTGACAAAGGTGTATAACTATGACTGTTGTGGTCAGAGTAAAGTATCTAAGTGGGATGTTAATGTGAACACTTGCGTGGTATCTCAGTGAGTTAAAAATTCATAAGCAATGATATGGGACTTCAACAACCAAACATGCTCACATTGCTGTAGAACTATGAGTGCAGTAAATTTGACACTCCATGTCAGTTCAAATGCTGGACTAGACATTTGTAGACTGTTGTGGTGGTTGTAATGTTGCTCATTCTTGATTCACCTGTGAAGATCCGGGTTAGAATTGATCTTCAGTAACCCATGCTTGTCGTAAGAGGCGACTAACGATATCGGGTGGTCAGGCTCGCTGTTGACACATGTCATCGTATCCCAATTGCATATACAGATGCTCATGTTGTTGATCACTGGATTGTCTAGTCCAGACGCAATTATTTACAGACTGCGGCCATATAGCTGGAATATTGCTGAGTGCAGCGTAAAACCTGCTCACTTATAATTGATTCATCTTACAACGAACAGGGTACTGAGGAGCTGCTTATCCAGTGTTTGTGAATGATATTGCTACTTCCCAGAAGTGTCCAGGATAGCCTCATCTTGACAAATTCAAGCATTAATGTTACATAAAGGACACACATTATCATGATTATGCAGATCTAATTTAGCTAGTCTTTGTGATATTTGTAACATTACACAAACTGACTGGGTCGGTGCCAATGATTGCGACCCTGGAAGTGATGGTGATAGTGAACACAGTTACTTCTGTCCCCAGGGATGCTGTCAACTGTATCGCTGTCCATCCCTCTGGCAAGCTGGCTCTGACAGTGGGGAAGGATCGTGCGCTTCACACCTGGAATCTCGTCCGAGGAAGGTCAGCTTATATCACAAATATCAAACAAGGTTTGTTGTAAAGATGTAAAGCTTTTTGTAATTATACAGCATGCATTGTCTGTGCCTTGAAACACTGAAGCTGGAGTCGAATATACACATGTGATTTCTTTTGTCTTTTGTGACATAACTTCACACTAAAATTTGCAGTAAATTATGTAAAGATATTTAGGCTGGTAGACTAGTAAAATGATAGCCTCATTTTGCAAATCATTACTCCAATCCCTGGATATAAGCTTTTAAGAGACGTAGCACTATGATTAATTTGTGTGGAGTTGGGGGTTAATCGCTTTGGTCATGTGGACAAGGCATCTGAATTCAGATCAGAAGGTCTGTGGTTCAAATCCCAGCCCAGACAGGAATTCTATAGCAGCTACATGTACAATGGTGCCTGTTTTACACTGGTTGAGGGGCTGATGTATCCTAGTGGTTAAAGCGCTTTTCGTCACGCTACCAAAGTCCCGCCTTCGATTCCCACATGGGTGCAATGATTGAAGCCCATTTCTGGTGTCCCCTGCTGTGATATTGCTGGAATATTGCTAAGAACGCCATAAAACTAAATCCACTCACTCAATCATTACACTTGTTGAGTAATTGATATTTTGTTTACTCTGGAAATGTTTGACGAAAACACTGTCAAGCCTGTGGCATGATGTTTAAGATAGCTTTTATTTGTACTGCTGAGTTAAGTTTGGAATGGGTTCTGATGATATTCATGTTTCCATTCTATAAATATATTCACAAATTAATATAAATGTTTTTCAGCGGCTGATATAGTGTTATGGTCCCCTGATGGAACAAGATTTCTCATTGTGTTCAGCAACAGAATTGACATTTATAAGACAGAGGTAAGTGTACTGGAAGTTTCATTGAGCACTAAATGTCTTTTACATGACTTTGATTTAAGTTATCCCCCATTGACCTTTAAATACTACCCAGGATTTGATAGGGTTGTTTGGATTGTCAAGGTGAGAGACAAATATGGATGGTTGTTTAGAGATGTCATACAAAGATACTGTGGAAGAGTGACCTGGCCGTACATCCTTATCAGGAGTTGAGTGGTATTGCTCAGGCTCACATTTGAGTGAACTAAGGGACCATTCATAATTTATCTGATGATGATTTTGGGGGTGGTTTGTTGTTGTCATAAATTTTGTACACATGTGCTAGGGTGTCATCTATTTTGAACATGGCATTATGCAGACATCAGTCATTTAAAGCATCTTGTATGTGACCAAAAATAAAAGTAGTAAATGTTTATAAATATTCCATTCTTTAGCGGCAGGGGACATTGTCATATCAGTGGCAACCACTTGTTATTATCCCCCGCCGCGTGTTTAGCTCGAAGCGGGGGATATAGTATTAGGCTCCATCCGTCCGTATGTACGACTTGGAATATCTTAAGAACCGTTCACTAGATTCTTTTCATATTTGGTACCTAGGTTCATCCTATAAGAAAGATCTAAGTCAAGTTTGGTGACCTTGACCTTCATTTCAAGGTCACAAAGGGACTAACGTTTTACCTGCATGTTAAGCTATCTCAAGAACCATTCACTGGATTTTCTTCATATTCAATACCAAGCTTTATCTAGGGAAGGCGCAGGGCCCAGTTGATTTTGGTGACCTTCACTTAATTTTCAAGGTCACAGACACTTTGAAAATTTCAGCATGTTAAATTGCATGTTAAGATAGTCAGCAAGATATCGCAAAAAAATATTCAATGGATTTTCTTCATATTTGACACCAAGCTTCATCTAGGGAAGGCCCAGTCAATTTTGGTGACCTTCACATAATTTTTAGGGTCACGAGGACACTTTGAAGATTTCATCATGTTAACCTGAATTGTCAGAAAGATATTTTAAGAACGGTTCACTGGATGTTCTTCATAGACTTTCAAGACCTCCCTTGAATGTTTTTCAATAAGCAATTTCTTTAGTACTAGTTTTGCATATTTCATACACTATGACATTCATGTCAAGGTCAAAGTCAGTCTTGAAAATATGTGTGTTTGAACATCTAAAGAGCAAGATATCAAGAGAGGTTGACTGGTCATGTTTTTGTTGACATTTAACTTCACCTTAAACTTTCATTACTTTATAAGTTTGATTTGATAATTTGCGGCGGGGATTATGTCACCTTAGTGACAATGCTTGTTTTTAATTTATTTATTTTTTAGGGGGAAGGGGGTTGTGTGTTTTGGGTTGTCATTCACATTGTACATGCTTCTCCACAAAAATCATCACTCCCTAACCATATGTTGTGAATGGTCCCTAAGGAATTGTTTTGTCATTGTTCACGGAGACGTGAAGCCTGTATGCAACAAAGGTCAACATCTTCCCATTCATTGTCTGAATATAAACACCTGTTTACACTATGAAATACCTATTACATTGTGGAAATTATCAGAAAGCACACATGCATGCAGACATGCTACCATGTTTAATTTGCGTTTGTTCCATGTCCAAATGGCATCCTATTCGTATGCCGATGTCTCCAAACATCCGAATCGTCCAATTTTCTTTCTTCTTGATGCTTAAAATACCCACCCCCGATGTTCAGTAGGATGTTTTGTTGTCATGACAAGTATGAAATAATTCATCAGATGATAGTCGTGAAGTAATTTATTTGTTTCCAGACGTCCTCTGTGTATCACAGTGTCAGCGTAGACAGGAGGGTCAACGCTGCAGTCTTCCTACGGGTGAGTTAACATTAGCTCTATGGGTTAACCCCATGAATATCCGGGTTAGAATGGGTCTTCTGCAACCCAGAATTGGTTGATGCATGTCTATTGCGTGGATGGATGCTTATGTCAGTCACTAGAATGTCTGGTCTGCTTATTTTTAGACTGCAAACATACTGCTGGAATATTGCTGAAATCTGTGTTCAGAAATTGATGGAACAATTTTTCTTTGACTTCTGATGGAAAGTATTCAAATACAGCTATGAATAACCCGATTTGCATAGTCATGTGCTTGCCCTAGTTTGATATCTTTGAGCAATCTCATTTTTTCTTGGATGTACATTGACACTGAACCTGGCGTTACGGCATCCTGACGTAATATATTGTAATCTTTTACGACAAGATGCCATTTATACAACTCCTTTCATATGAACCAATGAATACTTTGAATAATTCTCCCATCACCCATGAACTCGGGGACATTCACAAAGAGATTACAGATAAAACACTGCATGCAGTAAAATGGACCAGTGTTGCTGAGCTAGAGTTTACTTTTGTTTTTCATCCTGTAGGTGTTTTGAAGTAGCCTATTTAAGTGCACTAACTAAGCCGGCGTTGTGTCCATGTGTTGGACACAGGGTGGTATACGGTGCACAGAGAGAAACACAATGGAGTTAAGACTTCTTGACACATGAAAGATTGTCTTCTCTATTGTGGACATGAAGACATGTTCCTTTAATGCTTTAATGAATATTTTACTCGACCAGTGAAGATCCAGGTTAGAATTGGTCATCAGCAAACCATGCTTGTCGTGAAAGGAGCCTAATGGAATCGGGTTGTCAGGCTCGTTGACTTGGTTGACACGTTTCTTTCCCAACTGCGTAGATTGATGCTCATGCTGTAGATCACTGTATTGTCTGTTCCAGACTCAATTATTTTCAGACATCTGCCACATAGCTGGAATATTACAGAGTCAGTGTAAACAACAAAGTCATAGTTAGATTTTAGTGCCATGGGAACTATAACTTATAACTTGCTGAGCTTACTAGACTGAACAAATTGGACTGGGGGAACAAGATTCCATGCATGCTGTCCTTATCACAATTAACACAGGTGATGATGTGAAAGACTATGTGAAAGTTACCTGCACTATCTAAGCCGGCGTTGTGTCCATGTGTTGGACACAGGGTGGTATACGGTGCACAGAGAAAACACAATGGTAAAAGACTTCTTGACACATGACAGATCGTCTTCTCTATTGTGGACATGAAGACATGTTCCTTTAATGCTTATTTCAAACAAGCCTGATACATCTTGATCAGCCTGTCAAATCAAACTTTCACATTACCAATTATTTTTGCTTCACATGAACCCCATGCCTCAACATTTAATGGGCGGTGGGGTAGACTAGTGGGTAAAGGGTTTGCTCATTACAGTTATAGGAAAAAATATAAGAAGAACAAATGGCTCATAAGCATGTCATTTACAAAAAAAATAACTTTTGAAAGTGTAATGGGTAATGTGGTCTATCACAGTATACATTTTCAGGGCTCCAGATAGGGCCGTATCGGGGTATGTACGGGACAAAAATTTGCACGATACGGTAGGAAATAATTTATAAAACGTAGCAGATACGCACCACGGCAATGGTGTACGGTCTTAGAATCATTTACAGACATATGTATCTGAGAAGGTATTGTTCTATTGTTTATTGACCTGTTTACACAAGACTAGCAATGTTGTGGTGCATATATGAAACGAAACACAAGATTACTGATAGTCCATTAGCTTCCATTCAGTACTCTAAATGTAGACTTAAGGTTTTCGAGTACTCCTATATTGAAAAAATAAGGAGTACGTACTCCTGATGTTCAAAAATTATCTGGAGTCCTGCATTTTATAATTTAAGTTATTTCACTTGGAGCTAGTAGTCAACACAAGGACGAAAGGATTTAAATGAGCATCAGACAATCCAGATAAAACATAATACTTTCAAATATGTATCCTCAGGAACAAGAATAATAATGACATAAGACAGTGGTTTGTTTCGTTTTCTCAGATGGTTTTTTTTTCTGTTGTAGTCGAACGTGATAGCATATGGAGGAGAGGGTGGAGACATCGTCATCTACAACATCAAGGATGAGAAGGAATTGCAACGCATCAGCACCGACACCGTCAGGTACATGGAGATACAGCATGAGACCGACAAGTTGTCATGTGATCACTTGTGGTGGCATATGCTTAGAGCAACAAGCATCGATTTCCTTGCAGTTTGTATTGCATGGTCACTAAGATGTATTTACACATAATGTCATAGGGTTTAAAGGGATGGACATGGTCAGGAGTAATTTAAGCCCCAAAATACTGAAAATCGAACACAGATAGTTTTCCTCCAGATATTAAAATTAACTGAAATAAATGCGTAGTCTTCAAGCGGCAAGGGAGGTAACTGACTGCAAAAGTCCAGATTGCTTCTTTGCAGAACTAGGCTGGAATTTTGTAGCTCAATCATAGCACCACTGGTAGCTCTTATAAGTTATGTCTCTCTTATTGGCCAGTCATCTTCCACCTGTCATATTCTTTGCAGTTGCTTCAAACACAATGGCAGAGCCCTCTCAAGACAATCTGACTGATAATTTAGATTTTGGAATAAAACAAATCGCACCTCACTTTAGCATCTTGATTAAAACATGAAATGATCAGAAAGATCTTCATATTGGTTTAGTTTTCACTTTATTAGTTAAAGTAGTGTCAACAAGGCTCAGTTCTTTTTAACTCTGACCATGGGTCTTCCCTTAGCTTTTGACTGACCTGTACACTTTCTTCTGACCACAGAGTCCGTCACCTGACGAAAGTGAAAACCACTGACAATGACTGCCCCCTGGTCCTGCTGTCGGCCTCCAGCTGTGGTCACATCAAGGCCTTTAAGGTCACCTTCTCACAGGTAAACACATAGGCTTCAACACACAACACAGGACATTTCGAGATGAGAACCTACTTTACTGGTGCCACAGTGTGCAGGGTTGAATCCCTTAATTTGAATCAGATTCAAGGTTAGATTCTGTTCCAGCGCCACTTCATACATAGGCTTTCGTCCTACAGTAAGCTGACATGCGGTGATGTTTCTGAAATATTGTTCCACTAGGTACTTATCTCTCTCCACCCGCCTCTCCCTCGGTATTCATCAGGTTTTACCCAGGGAGGGTTGGATGGTCTAATGGTTGGCTCATTACACCAAAGAACTAATTCCTAGTCTTCATTCCCCATGTGATAGGACTGGAATTAAGATTCTTTAAGTTGCATTTAGAAGCTGGTGTGATGAAGTGGAACTGTTCTTATGGATAGACAACTTCTTTATTGCACTTGATCCGATGTTGCAGTGTAGATGCTAACATCGTTATCAAGGAAGTGATACGCAATATTATGCACAAGGAGAATATTTACATGAAAGATGTTTGAGATATCCACTTGAGGTTTATGTACAGTGTGATGAATTGCTGATAGTTGTTGCTTTTATAGATTATGGTTATGAAGCCATTTCAACATAGCTGTGAAGAATCATACTCATTCACTTAATACGTAGGTTCTAGTTAGTGGTAGGTTATGATTAATGCCTCTGTTTCTGCCTGGTTTGGTCTCTGTATGTTTGGGAAAGTTGTGGTATTACTGCACTATCTAAGCCGGCGTTGTGTCCATGTGTTGCACACAGGGTGGTATACGGTGCACAGAGAGAAACACAATGGTAAAAGACTTCTTGACACATGAAAGATCGTCTTCTCTATTGTGGACAAAAAAACAAAAGTGGTTATTCCAACATTGTAACTGTAGATTTTCAGCCAAACAGCATTGAATGTTTTTAACTGCCAGCACTGAAACAACAAACGAATAACACTTTCATCTTCTCTTGATGACTTCATTTCTGGGCTGTTAGGTTATTTGAGGAGCACTTTCCACTTATTTATTCCTACCGCCCAAATTTTTTTTTATGCCCCCGCCATATATGGCTGGGGGCATATAGGGTTACCCTCCGTGTCCGTCCATATGAAACAGGCAATGTACTCTATCCACTTCTCCACAAAAGACGCTCTGTGGAATTCAATGAACTTATACATGGGCTTTCTTGGGACTCTAATGGTGTGCATCTCATATTTTGTTTTTGTTTTTTATTGTTTTTTTTGTAAGTTTAGAGACATTTGAACTTAGGTACATTTTGCTGAATTTCTCTATGATGATAGTGTAATAGGGGATATGTCTATCCACTTCTCCACAAAAGCTGCTCAACAGAATATTGAGCTTCTACGTGAGTTTCATTGGAACTCTAAAGGTGTGCATCTCATACCTTGTTCATCCAATTTCTTACTTTTTCTCACTTCTACAGATGTTTGAACTTAGTTGAATTTGGTTCTATTCATCCTGTTCGTCCCATACAACAGGGGGTGTACTTTATCCACTTCTCCTCAAAAACCACTGCACAAAACTCATTTAGCTTACACGTCTTTTATAGAGACTCTAAAGGTGTGCATATCATATTTTGTTTTTGTATTTTATATGTATTTTTTGTATGTTTAGAGACATTTGAACTTAGATCAATTTTGTTGAATTTCTCTCTGATGATAGTGAAATAGGGGACTAAGTCTATCCACTGCTCCACAAAAACTGCTCAACAGAATTGTTTACGCTTATACGTGTGTTTAATTGGGACTCGAAAGGTGTGCATCTCATAGTTGCATAGATGTTTATTGAACTTATTCGTGAATTTTGTTCAATTATTGATCTTTATATGATAATAGGTTGTGTTACAACACATTGTTTTTAGTGTTTTCAAGTACTTCAGTGAGACCCTGAATGTGTGAACTCTTCCTACAGCAGCGGGGGCATCCGTGTCCCTGGACACAATTTTTTCTTGTTTATCAAAGTCTTCAGTAGATAATGTTAAGATGGTTTATAATTATGTGAACCTAATAGACATAGAGGCACTTACACGAAGGACATCAGGTGTCCGCTTATGACGCCAATGAATTCCAGGGTACAAAGAGTTATGTCCTTGGATTTCTGCTAAAGTGGCTTAAAACCCTGTTCACTCACTTAGCTGTGGCTGCAGTTGTATATACCTGTATATTTCCAAAACAGTTTATCATGACATACTTCCAACTGAAACTTGCTACTCTGTCAGATAATGATTTAAGATGAATGCACTAACTAAGCCGGCGTTGTGTCCATGTGTTGGACCCAGGGTGGTATACGGTGCACAGAGAGAAACACAATGGAGTTAAGACTTCTTGACACATGACAGATTGTCTTCTCTATTGTGGACAAAATATCTCCTTAGAATATTTCAAGTAGTGTGTTCATTACTTCAGTGTTTTTGAGTCATTCACTGAGTGTCTGGGATACTTCCTGTGCTTGTCTTGAAGCTGCAATTATTTAATGCCAGATCTATTTGGAACAGTTTTTGGATAGAATTTGCAGTAAAGTCATACCTTGATTATTATAGGGTAGAAATGCCTGGCTGTCAAAAGTTCTGTCAAGCAGCCCGTAACCAAATTGTATATAACTTTATACAGTGCATTCTGATAAAGTAGGTTCACTGAACTGAAATAGTATTCTAATAGTCAGCCAGACTTGACATTTATGGTTGTTGTGTAGGGTAATTAGGTGCCTCATGTTATTGATAGAAAATCATTAAATACTTCACCTGCTAAACTCTCACCACTTCAATGTAGGGCTTCCACGGGTACTCGAGTACTTTCGAGGGCGAGTCGGGTTTAGCTGGACTCGAGGTCCATTTTCAAGGACTCGAGGACTAAAAAGGAGATAACTTGAATTATTGACGTTGACGGACTGTCTGCCATGTGCTAAGCATGAGCGGCCGTTAACGTCTAATATTAAGAAAAAGATATAACTTTATCCCCGGAGGAAATTCTCATACATCCAAACTGTCTCAAAATAAATATATACACAGTTCACAAAAATATACACAATAATTACGTGCTCAAAACGAATGCTATTTACAAATAAAACTGACATGATATAATTCAATTAACCACATAGGTAAAGAGGCTGAATAATTCTATTTCTAATCACATGATGGTGATTCAAAATATTTGTTGCATTCACGAATACTTGATGGTATGAAAGACTGTCGAGCTCTGTTTTGAGGGAAGGTAATCGACAGCAGCGTCAGAAGGAAGTAGTTCAAAATGGTGAGATCAAATATGTCAACTATCAAATCTAATTTTAGCTGTCTTTTGACTATACTCGAAATACACTCCAGCAATTTTGCAAGCAGTATTAACAATTTTGAAAAGTCTGTTTTGTTAAGATGAGACAGATCCCCATACCAACATAGAAAATTGTAGGTCAACACACTTTGAATAAAGGTTTGATAAAAACTGTTATTACGGTTTTGTCAATGCCTTGACGATAATAATGTTCAGAATCAGAAATTAGGCCAGTAACAGTGGCGTCATCTGCAAATTTCACAGTAAACAAGTCATATATTGACAAGTAACAGTCATTGGTATACAAAGCGAAGAGTACGGATGAAGGAACACAGCCATGTGGATCTCCAGTAGAGGTTGAGAGAAAAAAGATTGATAGCCATTGACACTGACATACTGAGTTCTATGTACCCTGAATTCTTTAACCCATCTGATAATGTTTTTATTAACACCTAGATTACATAGTTTACTCCTCACATGGTGTGGCTGTATGGTATTAGTTGTTACAAGTCTGCAGATGAGAGTAAATATTATACATCGATTGAGATTTCACTTCTTAAAATGATTAGGTAACTATCTTTACAATTGATCGTTTGCTTGAAAGGTATGAATTTCGAGTTCTCGGGTCCGAGTCGAGTCTCACCCCTCGAGTACTCGAGTCCCAAAAAATGGACTCGTTGAAGCCCTACTTCAATGGTATGTATTATGTCTGAATGTGGTATCCAGCCGTGATTATTGATAGAGTGAAGTATAGAAACTGAGGGGCGGTTGGGTAGCCGAGTGGTTAAAGCGTTCGCTCGTCACGGCCAAGGCCCAGGTTCAATTCCCCACATGGGTAAAATGTGTGATGCCCATTTCTGGTGTCCCCCCATAGTGTTGGGAATTGGTTAAAATCTCATAATTGATGATTGGTTCATTACAACCGATCAATCATCGAAAATAATTGGTTTGCGTCATTTATCAAATGTTCCTGTTATCTTTGTTAATGCACACACAAAGAAAAATCATGTAGTAATTTCGGTCTTCTGCAAATTGCACGAAATCCATCGGCAAATTTCTCATATTTTAAGGATGATTAGTATGTTAGGAACACAGATTTCCTGGAGTCTTTAAGATAAATTCAATCATGACTTGGAACGAGCTTGTAGTGCTTATGCAATGTAAATTTAATGACACAGACAAAACCAACCTTGAGAAAAAAGTAACAATGCCCAGCCTGATCCTGTTGGAGCACACCACATTACAGTCCAATCCCATGAGTCAATCGCTGGGGACCAAGTAATACATTCGACTTATCGATGTATTCGAAGACATAGGTATGTCTATGAGGGTAGAAAATGATGATCCAGTCCTAATTCCTCCACCTAAGCATTTGTTTACCTAATGATTTCCCTTTCACTAATAGGGGCACCTTATCAGTTCCAGTCTGATTAGCACAGACAGTGATTTCCGTAAAATCACTAATCTGCCTTTGAACTCACCCGTCAATGGCGGAAAGGTGTGAGCAGCTGGTTTGTTAATTGGATCAGTTTGCTACACCAATCAACTTCTCATTGACTGACTTCGGTTTATGTATACAAGATTGCTGTTGTTTGAATCTCGTGGGACTAAATTTCCTTCTCAAGTCATCGTGTGTATTTATGAGACAATTAGTGTAACCGGCATTCAAATGATGACAACTATAACAGGGAATGGTCGGGACCGACAGGTACTTCGAGTTATGCATAATATTCGAGACACCGCATTCACTCATCGGGATTTGACTGTACTTGTATTGAGTCCAGTGGGGGTTTCTGATAACAATGGGTTCCTCATAGTCTATGCATGTCATAAGAGGTGACTGACCAGATCAGATTGTTAATAGCGCATAATTTTACCCCTTGTTTAGGGAAGTAGCTCTTTGTATCAGAGAATTGTCAGATCCAGACTTAATTATTGACTGAATGCCATCATTTGGATGAAATAGTGCCAAGCATTCTATATGGCCATTTCTGATGTCCCCACCGTGATATTGCTGGAATATTGCTAAAAGTGGCAGAAGACTACTCTCATTCACTCACTCAAACATTGTGTTCCTGTGTGTAGAACCTTTTCTTCTTGCTTGTGCAGGATTCAGTTAGTGCTGATCTGATGGCCTCACATGACACCAAGTTTCGGCTCACTTGCATGGCTGCAACGCAGATAAAGATGAAGACAAAGGTGAAGAGGGAAGTGGGGGATGTTGACATTAAGGCAGAGGACGCATGTGACCTTGATGACAGTGTCGAAATCAAAACCGAGAAGACCAGTGATGAAGAGGAAGAAGGTGAAGATAGCTCTGAACAAGACAGTGGCCATGAAGAGGACACTAGTTCTGATTCCTCCAAGGAAGAAAGGTCAGGGAAACAGTCAAGGTCATATCTAGAGTTCAAAAGGGCAAAAAAGTTGAAACGGAAAATGGAAGCTGGAGAAGTTGGAGGTGGAGGCAAGGAAGAAGAAAAAGCCCAAGGTTAAAGGTATGTGATAAATAACTGAGATTTATGGCAACTCCATTCAGACATGATTGCACTAACTAAGCCGGCGTTGTATCTATTTATTGGATACAGGGTGGTATACGGTGCATATAGAACAAAAGAAAGGGCAAAGTGTGACTGAATATCTGTATGATTTAGTCTGTTTTCCTTTCCTAACATTTTATTTGTCAGATGCTTTATTTAGGTGACTATCTTATTTATCGAAATATACATCTCAAAAGAAGTTAAAGATCACCTAATTTGTTCATGTTACTATAGTTAATGTGCATGTCATGACTATTTTGGATGAGTATACACTGATGTATGGGGGAAGTCATAATGAAACAAAACAAGGAAGTCATAATGAAACAAAACACTTAAGGAACCCGTGAGTTTCTTGTTACAGGGCTGGGGCTGAGAATGAGATCGAAAACATTTCGGGTCTCAAAGAATATTTGATACATTTCAAACTAAACAAATCCAGTCCTCATCCTGAGAAAATCATCTGTTTTGTTGAGCCAAGTCCTTTTACATGTCTCTGTAGATGTTCAGGTTAAGATCATTCCATTTCAAAACATTAAAACCTTACCTTAAGCCCATTGCCGGAAATGTTAGAAATTGACAATCATTTTCCTTGAATTACCAAGAACATGTTCATTTCAGAGACTAAAACTGACAGACGCAGCACAAAGAATTTGAAAAAGAGCAAAAGAAAAAGCTGAAAGCCTGAGCCCAATGAGTATGGACAATGTACTTTGTGAATATACCCACACTCACAGGATTGGTAAACCCAAACAACCGGGAGACATTGTAAGGATGGAGGAACACAGTAGCCAGGCTTCTATCTCGCAAGGCACATGTAGTGTCATTCAGCTCCTTATCAATGTGATCATTCCCTGAACTTTGCTCTTGAGTCTGTTTCTCATGTAGTTGAGAACTCACTCTTGTCTTTCCTGGCTTGAGTGTTTTCATTGGGATTATGTGATGTAAAGGATTATTTGTGAATTAAAGTGATACCATACCTTTATTATTCTTTTGAACTTGCAAACCAAAGAACTGATTTCATTAGACATGTGCTAGTGCCACCATATGGAAAACATTGTATTATGGAGGATACAGATGAAGCTATGTGCTGTACGGAGTTGTTTCCCTTTGGTATGCCTGCATCCTATGGTTGTGGGCTCCAGTCCCAGTTGACCGCCTCCGTGGTGTAGTGGTTAGAGCATCCGCCCAGAGAGCCGAAGGTTGCGGGTTCGATCTCCGACCGCGTCAAACCAAAAGACGTTAAAAATTAAATTGGTACTTGTTGGTCCCTGCCTGGCGCTCGGCATTAATGGGTACAACAAGGACTGGTCGGCTCGAGTAAGTATAATGTGTCTGAGTGGGGTATTCATGCTTCACTGCGGCATGGTATCTCAGTGGGCTAGCACTATAAAACCAGCTTCAGTCTGGGCTAGCACAAGCAGCCGCACATACACATACACACGCATGCACGTCGTCATATGAGTGAAATATTCCCAAGCACGACGTAAAACCCAATTTCACCTCACCTCACCTCCAGTCCCAGTTTGCCTCAGTTATGTTGCTGGGTTTATCGTTCAAGTGTATTCTCAAGTGGTAAAGAGTTGTGCTTTCACACACATGAAGCTGACATGCCATGGTAAAACTGGAATACTGTTTAAAGCGGTGTGAAACCTAACTCGCTCACTGTGGAGGCTTGATAGTCCAATCATTGTCAAGGTTCTGAATTCTTTGTACGAGTGACCAAAGCATTCAGATAAAACCTCTGATATCTGTATCCTAAATATTAAAAAGATTAGTTCCAAATGTTCAGGAATTAGTGTTGTTCCAATAAATTGAAATAATCGAAGATTGGTAGCAGTGACCAAACGACCAAGCAATCGATCACATTTTCTCATAATCGAACACAAATGATTTTGGAACAAATGTTTTAGTCTTTGAAACACTTGACGATGGAACATATCTTCAAAGATGTCAGGGCCAGAAAACGTGTTTAATTGTTAGGAAACTCACTTCACTAACTGAATATTAGAATATTTCTGACTGAATATTTCTTGAAGACCCCAGGAAGTTTGTTCATTATATATTAGTCATCACTTGAAAGTAACAAGTTGCATCATGTTATACATATCTGCAATAACAACCCAGGAAAATCTGAAAATGATGCTGACCATTTGTTTTCGATGATTCATCGGTTGTAATGAACCAATCATTAATTATGAGATTTTTAACCAATTCCCAGCACTATCAGGCATATGGCAACACCATTAGTGAGTATATTACAGACAAATAGTCGATAGCACAAAGACTTAACACCCAACAAGGGTTATCAAGGGAACATTATGGTTCAGTGTTGGATTTTATTTTCTACCAGTAAAATAATGAAGCTGGGGAAATTAAGAAAGGGGACATACAGCCATTCATTATACTGGAAAGTCAAACTTTGGTGTACCTTAATAAAACGTAATTGACAGTTTCACGCAGAGTTTGAGTAAGCAAACTGATATTAGTGAGTTAGCTGTTTGTGTATACAGTCGTGCCCCGTTTATCCCAACACTTGTGTTTTTCTTGAAATTGTATGGATAAACGAATTTCCAGATATCTGAACCACGGGGAATATGTAAATAGACATACAAAGAAACGAACATAATAGACTTCAGACGTAGTCTTAATTGATAAGGCATCAACAAATAACAATGCAAACATAAAATCACATCTTGTCAAATAAAGTAGTCATGTCAATAACATGTGCGAACATACCTGTACATGCATCTGTCTGTCAAATGCTAGCAACCAATCACGAAACAGTTCTGATGTCTTCCTCGCGTTCGCATTGTTGCTGTACCTAACATAAACTTCCGGATGAAAGTAACTACCAAACAACGGGGACGTCTAGCCTTGCCAATCACAACTCAAAATTAACTCAGTGTCACCTTGCTAATTACAGGTAGTTAATCCTCTCACACTTTAAAGACTGACGACTTCCTTTATGTTAGGGCACGCAAACACTGTAAAATGCGTGTGTAAACATACTGACAGGTGCTCAGCCATTGGATATACGAGAATAAAATGTATATGATTTAGCGTTTTGTATGTGAAAATGACCGTCCGCTTAAGGAAACAGGATTTCCGGATAAGTGAGTAATTTTACAACATTGTGAATTCGTTTTGAGGAATTTTCGTTCGGAAGGCGAGTTTTCCGGATATCTGAGGTTCGAATAAACGGGTCACGACTGTAATACATAGTTCCTCTATCCCCAGAGAATACATAGTTGCCGTGTAGTGTAAGTGTGTGTAGTTTATCCCTGTGTGCCTTTTCTTTTAATGGGGGCAGTGGGGTAGCCTTGTGGTTAAAGAGTTCGCTTGTCACACTAAAGATGGTTCGATTTCCTGCATGGGTACAATGTGTGAAGGAATATTGCTAAAAGTGGCGTAAAACCCAACTGACACTCTTGTATCCATACCATTCTAAATCTGCACGCCTTTGTTTGTAGGAGCCAACAAAGATGGCACTTTCCCTGGTGCATATATTGTACAAGCACCTGTCACCAAATTATCAGCCAGCTGGAATAATGACTTTAGTGTCCAGATATTCACTCACTTGAAATTTCAACACAGTTTGGGTTCCATAATTCATTACTTTAAGTGCTACAACCCGTGAAGGTCTGGGTTAGAATGAGCCTTCAGTAACCCATGCTTGTCATAAGAGGCGACTAATGGGACTGGGTGGTCAGGCTCGCTGGCTTGGTTGACACGCCATTGGTGCTCATGCTGTTGATCACTGGATTGTCTGGTCCAGACTAGATTATTTACAGACCGCCACCATATGGCTGGAATATTGCTGAGTGTAGTGTAAAACTGAACTAGGTGAGGTGAAATTGGGTTTAATGTCGTGCTTGAGAATATTTTGCTCATATGACGACGTGCATGCGTGTGTATGTGTATGTACGGCTGCTTGTACTAGCCCAGACTGAAGCTGGTTTTATAGTGCTAGCCCACTGAGATACCATGCCGCAGTGAAGCATGAATACCCCACTCAGACACATTATACTGACTCCAAGCCGACCAGTCCTTGTACCCATTAATGCCGAGTGCCAGGCAGGGACCAACAAGTACCATATTTTAACGTCTTTTGGTATGACGCGGTCCGAGATCAAACCCGCGACCTTCCGCTCACCGGGCTGACGCTCTAACCACTACACCACTGAGGCGGTCTTAAACTGAACTAACTCACTCACTGTGGCTTGTTTTGAGAAATTAATAATTTCCCTCTGACATTTCAAGATAGTGACAATCGTCTGTCAAATGTTGCGGAGACATAAATCAAGGTCAGGAAACTCATGTTTGTTTATAAATCTTTATTCTTTCTACACTTGCATACAATTTTCAACCAGATACAGAAATAATGTAAAGTCTGTCGTGAACAACTGTCAGACCCTTCTCGACATGAACACAGAAACACCCATTTGTACGATATACATGTAAGCTCCATCACTGTCCATTTCTTTCATAAACATAGTATCATGGTTTCTCAAACAATTAGGACTGCAAGATATTACTAGTTAACTGCAAGGGGCGGTGGGGTAGCCTAGTGGTTAAAGCGTTGGCTCGTCACGCCGAGGACCCGGACTCGAATCCCCAGATGGGTTCAATGTGTGAAGCCCATTTCTGGTGTTCCCGCCGTGATATTGCTGGAATATTGCTAAAAAGCAGCATAAACCAAAACTCAGTCAGTCAACTGCAAACAATAGCAGTGCAATAGGGTTTTTTCTGTATATTGAATAAAAATAACATAAGATTGTTTTTTATTTGTATCCTTTAACCTGAATTCTTCACAGAAATTCGGTAACAAACATCTCCCTTTGAAACTGGTTTACAAAAATACAGAAGTGATCTCCCCAGTATCCATGACAACAAAATGGCAGCAACTGACCACGCTAGTAAATATTTAATTTAGCATTCATGAAATATGATCTGAATGTACAGAGTCAATCACTGTCAAATATTTAAGCTCCAAATATATATTGTAATAAAGATACCTGTCCCACAATATACTGGATAACATTTTTCCATTACACAGACTATACAAACCATTTCCTTAATATACATAATTTCACATGTAACTCAGGTAACGGTTTTAGCACCACACTTTACACATCAGCCGTTGTTTGTCAGGCAATCAGTTTTTGTCCATCTCGTGATAAGGATTCTTTAACAATATCCTACACACTAATTTATCTTTTTAAATTTCTGCTCTCTGAGTACGAGAAGCATGGTGACTTTGTCATTCTTCAAATAAGCCTCTGTATAAAAAAATTATTGCATCATGGTGTGATGTCTAAACAGGCATACAGTACAACCTTACCCTTCTAACACTAGCACATGAAACTTCATTGACAAAAGACTGTAATGAGATTTGATTGATGAGAAAATGTTCATACTGTTATCTTTTCAATGACTGCGCACAAGTGAAACACCACTTCATTTCAGTCATATTATGGCATGTCAGATGGATGTGGAAGGACAGCCTGAACAGAGACCCGGATCTTGGAAGTTTACCATTCAGGTGACTTTATGTATGAGCTGACAACCAGGAACTACATTTGTCACATCTGTGTTGGAACACATGATCCTGATCCATAACTAAGGGGCACAACCCTCCATAGAGAACTGTCACAAAAGTGACCAACTGTAACCCTCTTGACACTGGAGTGAGTGAGTATGGTTTTACGCCGCTTCTAGCAATATTCCAGCAATATCACGGCAGGGAACACCAGAAATGGGCTTCACACATTGTGCCCATGTGGGGAATCGAACCCAGGTCTTTGGTGTGACGAGCGAACACCTTGAACACTAGACTACCCCACCGCCCTCTTGACACTGGAGATCATGAGAGGTTCTACACAATCTATTACACAGATCAAATACAGAATCAGGACTATGGATGTCTTGGGACAAGGTTGATGCGAAACAAAACTAGAGAGTATGACATTCTGCTACAAAGAAAGGAAGTTTGGCAAAAGGCAGTTTGATTGTGTGATAAAAAAAGCAAATTTGCTCAAAACAGAGAAGTCCTATTGACTGAAAAATATAATCTACTGTATATTGTCATGAACAATGACAATCGATGGAGGTTGATGATGAAGCTATGATGTTTCCACTTCAAAGTCTGATGCCAGTTCACTGGGCCAGCCGATATCCGTATCTCATCAGCATCAATAAACTGAAAACAGAAGAATTATACATCCTCTTTAGAGGATATGTGGCCACTGTAATTAGTAGGGAAACAATTATTCATCACCTATCTGTGCACTGTGATTACTTTGGGGGCATTAAAAATATAAACACTTGTCCGAGAAACGTCTAAATATGGCTCAAAATGCTTCAGCAATGGTCTTGCAGAAGAGTTTCACACACAGTGTTATAGCGGGGTAAACACACATTCATTTTATTTTATTAAATTTAGTCCCCTTTTTCAGTTCTGCTCTGTCCATGGAAAATATTATTCACTCAATGATTGTACTTTGCCTTTATTCCGTGTTATGTATAACGTGGGGTCACCCAAGTACCCCATGACTAGCGTTTTGGAAAGGGATGACTGTATTTACAGACTGACTCCATATAGCAGGACTATTGCTGTGGGCAACAGCAAACACCACAATGTGATCGTATGTCACCACACAAAACATACCACTGTAATATTTTCAACCAAGCATGTGTGAATTTCGTCATGTTTCATATGGCTTGGATGATTGTGCTATTAACAAGTTTCTGTTAATCGTGTATGACTGGTTAATCTAGAGTCACAAGTGGTCAGGCTCACTGACTTAGTTGACCACATGTTTGACTTGGTTGACCACATGTTATTTTATCCCAATTGCGTAGATCGAGGCTCATGATGTTGATCACTGGATTGCCTAGAATTAGCTGGAATACTGCTGAGTGCAGTATTAAACAACAAACAAACAAAAATTACTCAAGCTGTTCTCCAACATCTGATGGATTTAGTCACCACCTATTAAAAATTTTCAAAATGTTTCTACCTCAAAGATGCTACCATTCCTGCTGGCATGAACTTGCCGGAGCTGATAAATCTGTAGCCCATGACTCCTGTCAATAGCGCACTTGTGGCTGAAACACAATTTCATCATTTAAAACAGAATCAGATGAATGTTAGCTGACAGCTGGTGACACATGTTCATGATAATAGCCTCCAATAGTCTGAATGTTGAACAGAAGCTTTTCAATAGTTTTCCACTAAAGTTCATCCTCCATTGTCCTCCAACAGACAGTCATATTCATGTCATAACTGATGTTGATCTCAGACACGTTATACTGACTCTGAGCCAACCAAATATTGTTTTGCCCTTTAATGCTGAGCATGTGAAACAAAAAGTACCATCTTTGAACAACTAGTACTGTTGCCATGACTCAAATATTTTGTACCCAGGAAATTTCAGTAATTAAAGACACGAACAGTATCATGACAAAAGGATTATAAACTCACCAAGGGACAATGATACATTTTTAGGATCGTTTGTTGTCTGGTAGGCTCCAACTCCCATCACGGCTCCACAGGCCACGCCCATTGCCAGAGAGGGCATGCTCCCTGCAAACCATTACATCACCAGTTGAATTCAAATACTGGATATATCCAATCTCATTACAATCAGATCATATTATGCCTTTTACTAAAACATTTTTAACAAATACTTAATCACTTAAATGAGGGTGGTGGTGTACCCTCGTGGTTAAAGTGTCAGTTTGTCACAGCAAAGACCCAGGCTCAATTCCCCACATCAGAGATGGCAACAGGAAAATCTATTTTCAGCTGAAAACTTGTGTCATTGAACAGGGGTTTGAATTGATTTATTTGAAATAAAATCGGTGGAAATCCGTAGATCAGCAGAAACTTGCCATCCCTGCTACATGGGTACAATGTGTGAGGCCCATTCCTGGTGTCTCCCCTGCCGTGATATTGCTGGAATGTTGCTAAAAGCGGAGTAAAACCAAACTCACTCACTCATCTCATACATCAGGGCATTGAGAGTGTGTTGCTCTTATTACTTAGCTACATATTAAGAGATGGGTTGATATGGCAATACAGTATTGTATCACAATATGAGGCTCATGATACAATATTTCCTGGGTGACAAGAAATAACAGAATCTTCAGAGTGCCCCCAAGCTTATACGTTTCTCTCTTACACTATCCCATCAACACTATCTGAAATTTGAAAACAAATGTCTGGGTTGTGATGAATGAACAAAATGACAGACAATATTAACTTATGAAATTAAAGTAGTATATTGGGACACGGATTGTGTCGCGCTCATATTATCGGGATACATATCGTATTTCAGCCTCACCATATTGTTAACCCCAGCCTGTAAATGTGGGGCGGTGGGGTAGCCTGGTGGTTAAGCATTGGCTCATCAAGCCAAACACCCGGGTTCGATTCCCCACATGGGTACAATGTCTGAGCCCCAATTGTGGTGTCCCCCGCTGTGATATTGCCAGAATATTGCTAAAAGCTGCGTAGAACTAAACTCACACTCTTATAAATGCAAACAGTCAATGATTTACCTGAAGAAAGAGAAAGATGCCTTTAACAGATTTAAACTTTAGTTCTAGACCCTGCTCATTGTGATGCAAATAATATGATTACCCTGTCAGATATAGATCCTTATTTTAAAATGGCTACTTATAACAATTCAGAAGGAAGTCCTTTTCTATCAATAGCTGCTACAGTGGGTGTTTGTGGCTGTCAAATCAGCTGTTTCAATCAGAGGTGGTCAAAGTGACTTGAAAGTTGATATTCATTAATTCATGTGACAGCTTAGTAATAACAATTCATATGCATTGAATATTCAAATGCATAGACCTGTTTCAGTTTGGTTCCTATTGACAGAAATTACAGACCCTCTTTATTCAGACTCTGAGCTCATACATGCAATTATGGATTTTTCACTACACCCAGTTGAAATGAAAACACAAATTCAGTGTTTGATTATAAATGTTAAGTGTAAACACAACCTGTATTGTTATTTAATTAAGCAGCTCAGCATGTATTGTGCATACACCAGTTTGAAAGTTGTCCAGTATAACTGGTGTCTGGATTAACTCTGCATAACTTTATAGTTTATTGATTGATGCATACACCAGCTTGAAGGTGTCCAGTATAACTGGTGTCTGGATTAACTCTGCATAACTATATAGTTTATTGATTACAGAGTTTCGTGCAATCGGTCCCAATTTATGCCATTCTTTTTTTTGCAGTTTTGGTACTCAATAATTTGAGATGTTTGCGGAATCTGGCTGACACCTCGGCTGTGGATTAGCGTCATGTCTTATTTGTAGGACCCATCGCTGATAAAGGACAACTCTGATTTTTAAAGTTTATTTAAACTTGCACTCAGCAAAATTCCAGCTCTGATATTTTAAGACTTCATTCAGTGATAATTATTTGCCTCCCTCACTTCTCTTTTATTCCGTTTGGCAAAATAATTGTTCTCTCCTACATCGTATGTGCGCCATGTGGGTTTGCATGTGAGATCACTCAAATACTGCACTCGGAAGTTTTTAACGTTATACATGGCTATTATTATAGTATGACCAGAAATTATTGAGAATTTTAGGAACATGTTTAATTGGATTTCTAGTATAAACAACCTTGACCAGCTATCAAGTGCTTGGTTTCATTCAAGAGAGACAACTCCGTTAATCCTTTTTCATTAGTTTGTGAAGAGTTATCCCCCTTTGTTAACTTGCTAGCAGACGACATTTTCAGTGATCCTCAGTATGGATGATTTAGAGAAGAGGAAGTTGATTTTAGAGTATTATAACAAGGGCATCAGATCAGCTAAAGTGATTTCAAGTAGAACAGGCATCCCTTTGTCCACTGTTTATCGTGTTTTGAAAAATATTGCAAATGGATATGGCATTGAGCACCAGGGAGGCGCAGGGAGGCCCAGAAAATTGACTGTCGGTGATAGGAGGCGGCTTGGTATTCTTGTTTCTAAAAACAAATGAAGGAGTTTAGAAAACTTAAGGCTGGATATGATTGATAGAGGAACTGTGGCTGTCTGTAAGGAGACAATTAGAACTGAGCTGCATGCAATTGGTTGGCAGAAAAGTCGAGGAATTCCATCACCGTTCATGAAACCTGAACAAAAGGAGCGAAGGTTGAACTGGTGCTTACAGCATAGACATTTTAACTGGGACAATGTGATTTTCTCAGAGATGAAAGTTCTGTGTGCCTGTTTCCTAATACACTGAAATTCTGGACCAAACAAACTGAAAAACCTTTGTATCAGCGCCCAAAGTACAGTCCGAAATTTAACATGTGGGGTGGCATATCTGTGTTAGGGACAACGCCCCTCTGTGTATTTGAAGGGAATATGAACAGTGAGCGGTACACAGATATTCTCGAGGGACATCCATCTGCTCACGTGTTTTATGGAAATGTTTGGACAACGACCCAAAACATCGTTCAAAGCATTCACAGGCCTGGTTTCGGACCCAAAATTTGACATTATTAGATTGGCCAAGCTATAGCCCTGACCTAAATCCAATAGAAAATGTTTGGGGACTTATGAAGGAAAGTGTCAACAAGCAAAATCTGACAAATATTGCTTAAATGAAAGAAGAAGTGGTCCGATATTGGGACAGCATGAACCACGACTTTTTAACTTCTCTTATCAGTAGTATGCCCCGCCGCATTGAAGCCTGCATTGCTGCCCATGGTGACTTGACAAAATACTAACTGTTCACCTTTCTTTGAATCTGGAGTTATGTTCTGCTAATATTCACATTAATACGTGAGTAATGAGTGAAAAATAAAAAAATTACAATCTTTAAATTCTCAATAATTTCTGGTTGTACTTATTAATGATGGATATTAAAATGCACATATTTCATTCTTTATGCACACATTAAATGTATCCGAACGTTTATGTATGCCTATGCAACCTAATATACGACCCGACACCTGAAACCCCATCTCTTGAAAGTTCTACATTTTGAACTCGTAAACACTTCCACATCACTTGATGAATGAAACTTGTGACCTGCCTGTACAAGAACAGATGTTGTCAGTTCACCAAATTCACTTGTCTGTGACCTTATACAAATATGGCAAAATAAGCTATAGTATTTACCTGCTTTAACATATCCTAAGATTCCACCAGCAGCAAGTGTCGCAGCATAAGCAAAACTAATGATGTCGATCGCCATCTTGCCAGCAGGTAATTGGTGGCGGAGTTATACCTGCAACTAATGTTCATGACATATTTATTATGTTCTCGATTGTAAATGTTTTGATGGAGAATCATTTTACGTGTACAAAGATAATTCTATAAGCACATATAAATGTTTATAGATTAATTATCTTAATTTAGAATTGGTACTTACATGTGTACACCACAATGCAGGAATGTAATAGGATAAGTTGTTGTGCAAATACTATCGTGGAAATAAAAATGGCAGCTCCCATGTCGGCAGCATTTCCAGTGGTAACAAAACAGGTACCCACATACTTCATTGGATTGTATCATTCCCTATGTCGTTACTTACGTGATTTCGCCTTCTTGCATATGAATTCGTCTTTTTACACCGTTAGGAAAGATGCCTTTCTGTGACAAACTGATGTGAAGGTCTGAGGATTGTCTCGATCTCGCTGTCGTGACCGTTATGTACCTGGCTTAATCCTAGAGACGATAGTAAATAAGAGTATGTCAGTGTTGTGTGTGTGTGTTTTTGAGTCATGCATTAGAACAGGTCTTCATCAGCACATACCTGTTGTAGGATTCGACTAATGGGATCGAGTGGTCGGGCTTGATGAGTTGGTTGACTTGGTTGGTTGGTTCCCCCACTTTCTTTATACATACATTTTAGGAAGGGTCATTCACATAAACATATCAGAGTGAGTGAGTTTAGTTTTACGCCGCTTTTACCAATATTCCAGCAATATCACGGTGGGGGACACCAGAAATGTACCCATGTGGGGAATCGAATACGGGTCTTCGGCGTGACGAGCGAACGCCGTAACCACTAGGCTGCCCCACCACCCCCTAAATATATCAGAGTGTCTCAGTGCATCTCAGAGGGGTTAAGTGTTTTTAGTCAACCATACAACAAATTACAAGAAGTTTAAACAGTCACTGGATAATTACACTAGCCAGTAATCTAGACAAGATTAACAGTAGTGGTTAAGTGTTTATGTTATGAGTATAGTCAACCCAATGGTCAACCATACAACTGATACTGTAATGATTACATGAGATATAACAGAGTCATGGGTGTCAGACACTAGTCAGTAATCTAGACAAGATTAACGTTTTGATTAGTTGTGAGATTTAAACAGTCATGGTGTCAATTTCACTAGTTAGTAATCTCAACAAGATTAATGTTTTAATTAGTTGTGATTGGAGCCTCATGACTCAGACTGCTATAGAAGATGAACAGTTCAAGCAACAATTCACATTGGTAACCATGCCTGTAAAGTGTGTTGCTTGTGACATTGACAAGACAGGAAAAATCAACATGCCCAGGCTAGCTATTCTCCAAATGTTTGTAGCCTTACGAACTTCTTTAAGCCCATTCTTAACACATTGGCTACAATCAAAGTTAAGAATTCTTAGGGCTATGAACGTTTTGTTCCAGCAATGACTAAAGAATAAACAAATGCAAATTGAGTTTTTTTCATAAACTTCTTCTATATACCTAAAAACATGGTAACAGTATGGACGTATAAATTTAGCACAATCAGCTTTTCACTTACTTGAGATCTGCAATCCTAATATGTACTTTCAATGGTGTTATTTAATATCAAAACTTAATATAGTTAGAAAAATAACAACACATATAATTTTTTTATGATTACACTCTGAAAATGACTCATATAGTGAACTTTAACTGAAGTTAAAGATGTGGGAATTAGGAACATTTGAATCACTTATGAATATTTCATCTCATATTAATCAACACTCGAATCTATGATGATAACACTATATACTATTACTTTTGTTACTATTTACATATTGATACAAATATAATAAAATATATAAAATAAATATTAGTTTGTATGTTCTATGGCCCTTTTGACTTTTCGTTGGCCCTTTTGACTTTTCGTTGGCCCTTTTGACTTTTTCAATTTTGGCCCTTTCGTCCTTTGGCACTTTTGACTACAACCCCCCATTGTACCAAATTAGCGACATGAAATTTTATTGTTCCTGTGATTTAAGTGATTGCTAAATCTTATTGTCCAATAATCTACATCATTCCACTGTTTCAGAACCCTCCAATCTCCTGTTATGACCCTGGAAATTAGTCATTGTAACTCCAAGTACTAGTATTACAGTTACTGTGATGCTATAATGGGGTGTTGGGGATTATTGGTCAGTACTTGTCAACAATGATCTATATATTGCAGGTTGCTAAGGAGGTGAATAACAACCATACCGATGTTCTATGCAGTAAATTTGATGACAGATTACTGCTGGTTGTCTCTCAGCTCCAGAAGTTTGGTACTATGGTGAGAGTTATTTATTCACTTACAGGTTAATATTATGGCGAATGTCCAGATTTGAATGTTGACACACTCATTTTAAAGGCTCTTTTCTGTTTATCCTGACAACTGCAAGCAAAAACCCTTTGCCAAATGAACTGTGTGCACAACAGAAAAGAACTAAGAAAGTGATATACTTTATGGATAACAGCTTCTATATTAAATATGATGTGACGTTTCAGTATAGCTTCTTATACCATTGTCAAGCCAGTGTCAAGTTCTCTCGCTTGACAACGGTATAAGAATCTATACCGAAACTAGTAGTGTGACAATTCATCGATATGCATCGATCCATGGGCCGTCGATACAGTGAATCGATACAAAGTTTTACAATGTTGTGTATCCCGATAAGATACTTCAAATGGGCCATGATACATCAATGTTTAACTTTGAATATTACCAAATCACAATATCAGTCTAGAAAAAAGACATACTTTTGTTTGATGATGCTTACTTATTTTTCCTTCATAAATAAACATTATATATTTATAAAACAGTCTGATCTTGTTACAGGTACAGATAAGTCGGAGCATTGTCCTCGACGAGATGCAGCAGTCATCATCAGTATATTCCACAAAAGTCCTTCTAGGGTCAGACGAGGTGAGATTCTCATTTACCTCCACATCCTTGTTGTAACCAGAGACCATATAATAAATATTATTGTATGATCTCTGTTTTAACCCATTAAAATGAAACCCATGTTTCATTTGTGTAAATTCAAGAACAGAATGGAACAACGTTGCCAAAATATAATTCATCGTCATCTGTTCAGTGTAATGTATTCATACTGTGAATACTGGTTAAACACAAAGTATGCACTCTGGTTTTTATGTTTTAATGCCATAAATGCAGAAACATACAAGTCAGATGTTTTGTATTGCTTTTGTATTTTTTTCCCAATTTAGGGATTGTTTTATCTTATGTAAATGGAAAATATTTTTTTATTTCTGTATGGCCTTATATTTAAATCTTAAATTTTATGGTAATTTTTTCATCATTTCAGCCTCTTACCCATGTCCTAGCTAAAAATCTGATAGCTGAGGTGACAACAACCAAACCCATTATCCTAACAATGTCTCTGAAAGATACTACCCCAAAGACAGTGAAAGCTCTTGCCTCATTGGTCAAGGAAGTAGTCAGCTGACACAAACAGCCAATCAGTGATGAGATACCATGTAAGGATGTCCAGCCCAGTCACAAGGAGTGTGATGGGTAGATGACTTTGAGAAGTCAATCATGAACACAGGGCACATACCACTCCATCAAGGGATGATTAATTTGACAGTTATTAATTGTGTTTGTCAGTGTAAATCCAAGACTTATAGCACTGTAGATGAAGTCACATTCTAGGACACTGACTCAAAGGGACATAGCATGACATATCCACCCATCAGGATTTAGCTGACCTTGTCTCAGCCATGGTGCAGAAAGTTCAAGTTAAAAGGACCACAAGATACATATACCAAAGAAACAAGTCTCACCGTCCCTACAAGCATTTTTCAGGGCTCAATTTAGTGCTTTGTTACTTGCACTGGTGCAATCCAATATTACAAAACGCAACCTAGTTATTAGTCTAACTTGCACCAGGTGCAAGTCAATTTTTGAGACTTCAGCTGGAAAACAGAATGATGAGGAACTGACTTGGAAGAGTGACTCTGATGACTGTATGAGCAGTGACTGAAGGACTTACTGTTCATGAAATTTTAGGAAGTGAGATAACTAATCTTATCAGTCCCAGATTTCTTTTGTCCAGAAAAGTTCAGAGGTTGAATAAATGATAAGAAAGAAATTTTCTGGAAATGGATTGTTATTGCAACTTCAGCCATCAACACTACTAGGGCAGGCCTTTGGGATGAGTAATAGTTAACAAAATATCAATCGATCACATCAGAGAATATGGGGAACTACAATCAGCTAGGTCATGTTCAGGATGGAGCCATTGGAAGTTTATTAAATTACTCAATCATTTAGCAATATTTTACACATATGGATCTGTTAATCATGTCAATCATTCAAAATCAAAGATTCATATATCAATAAGCATAAATGTATTTATGAATTTGGTGTAGTGCCTGAAAAAAAGTGATGGTTATTGTAATAATTGTAATGATGCACACAGATAGAAGTGAATGTTGGTTTTATTAACTGGAAAGCAATTTATCATCAACTGAGCCAAGCCCCAGCTCTGTTTATCTGCCTAAAGTGGGACGGTAACCAGTTCAGACAATATGTTATTTTTCATGCAGGAGCAGGGGCAGTGGGCTAGTCTGGTGGTTTAAGCGTTTGCTCATAATGCCAAGTTCGATTCTCCACATGGGTACACTGTGTGAAGCCCATTTCTGGTGTCCCCCGCTGGATTATTACTAAAAGCGGTATAAAACTAAACTCCTTCACTCACTGACTGACTTTTTAAAAGATGATAGGGTAGAATGCAATCCTATCTTCCTCCCAGAGGTCGAAATGTATGTGTTTCTTTTATTTTTTTATTTTGTTTTAAGAAAATAAATGAATTAACAGAATGACATCAAGTGTTGTTTATTGAATATTGTGGGAAATGAATAGCTTTTGTCCTTAGTGTCTGTGGCAAGTGTAAATGCTGTTTGAGTAGACAAGGGAGACAACTGTTGCATCCTTGTTGGTTTCCATGCCACTGAAGGATTTGGTTGGTTTGTTGTTTAACGTTGCTCTCAGCAATATTCCAGCTGTATGGCAGTAGTCTGTAAATTATCAAGTCTGGACCAGACAATCCAGTGATCAACAACATGAGCATAAAAATCTATGCAATTGGGATACGATGACATGTGAAGGAAGCCAGGCCACAAATGTTTGAGGGCATTTTATTTTTTCCCCATTTTTGATAAAAGGTCTCAGTAGAGGAAAATGTTAATACCATGCATAATCTTGAATCAACTGTGGGAGTTCTGGGGCAGATTGTTATTGTTGATGGGACAAGGTCCTGTGTACAGGGTATAGGTCACAGTGTTGGTCAAGGAGAGGAGCTGGATGGGTGACAAGGTGCAAGCTTGACTCAAGAGTCGAAATGTTTGCACTATTTAAAAGGAATCTAATGCATTATTTGTACCTTTTGTCACTCATGTTATTCCATGCACAGGGATTTATCGAAACTGGTTCAAAGGCTAATATTATGTGAAGAACGTAATGACACCCATTGTAAGCCTTTATCATTGTTGAATGGATGGATGATAGTGTGTGCTGCAGTCTGTGTGGCTGAACAACATTGGTAAACCGCATTGTCTAGAAATATTTGAAATAAATCCACTGTGTATTGATACTTTTTGTCCCACACAATCTTTGATTTAATTCATTATCTGTTCTGGATTGTTTTGATTATGTCAAACCCGTAAAGATATGGGTTAGAATTGATCTTCAGTAACTCATGCTTGTCATAAGAGTGACTAACGGTCAGTGCTGGTATTGGCATACAACCTGCGATACGATACATCACCAAACAAATATTTAGTCATGACGATATATTGCCAAAGTATTGTGCACTAAATACGATACGAATCCCGATATAAGGTTGGCGATATGATACGTATCACGATACTAAAATCTTTCATTCTAACACCAACTATAAAACACCTAAGATCAAAACAAAAATAATGTTTATATGAAAGAAACATTAATTTGAGAAATAGACACATTAGGGACTTTTTTAAAAACAAGTACAAAATAAATAAGGTATAATACTGTTATAAACAGAAAACATGGATTAAAAACATCTTTAATATCTGCATGTTGCTGGATGCAGTCAGTGCAGTCACAATAGAATGAAGTTTGTGATGATTTTAAAAACAGTATATCTTGACAGATATCGCGATTTGGCAATATTTAAAAGTTAAACATTGATGTATTGTGGCCCATTTGTAGTATTGTATCAGGATGTACGACAATGTAAAAATTTGTATCGAATCACTGTATCGGCAGCCCATGGATCGATACATGGATGCGTATTGATGAATCGTATTGACGGGATCGGGTGGTCAGGCTCGCTGACTTGGTTGACACATGTCAACATATCCCAGTTGCATAGATAGATGCTCATGCTTTTGATCACTGGATTGTCTGGTCCAGACTCGATTATTTACAGACCACCATCATATAGCTGGAATATTGCTGAGTGCAGCGTTAAACAACAATCAACCAAGTATAGATGGGTAGTCTAAGAGATGGGTTCCATGGTGTTCAGAACCCTATGGTTGTGGGTTTGAATCCCAGTTTGCAACAATTACGTTTCTTGGTTTGTTACCACTGTACCTAAGCATATGGGTTTCACCAAAGTGGTGATCATCTGAGAACTGCGTTACTTTGGACTTTCTTTCACATGAAGCTGACAAGCCATGGTATAACTAACACTCAACACAAAGTAAAATACATCTGACAGAATCCACCCACCCACACTGGAATGGATTGTAAACTATGACAGTTTTTCTGTAGTGGATCATATTATTGCCATTAAAGTCAAATCTAACTCCCTTCACTGCCCACCCGTGGCTTAACAAACAGGAAAGAAATGTCACCAAGATGAGAGAGATAGCATTCCAAAAATTAACATCTATGTTTTTTATTGGAATATGATTGTATGTTTTATTGATGTCAAAGTGTATTACCAGCTTGACAGATGGTGAATACATTCACTCAGTTCAGTGAGGCCAAAGTCCCATTTTCAGGGTGACCTTTTTATTGTTGAAAAACTATTGATAGTGGTGGCTAGGAAATTTGCCATTGTCATCATAGGGAGAGATGTAAACTCAGCATTGGACAAAAATATCTGATGGACGATGATATATTTCTCATATCTTAATATACTGTTGAAATACGTATGTCTCAAGTAAAGATGTATTTTTGCATGTGTCATTTTAACTAGGGTCTTAGAGGCTTCCATACTGGTCAAATCTTGGGATTTATATTTTAAATGTTGGACAAATAGAATACTAATATCCCACTTGAAAAATAATGTTTAAATCTATTCATAATATGTAATTGATGGATTTTGACCGTCTGCTTGTATGTGGTAGGTAGGTTACGGATGCTGGGACACCATGCAATAAAGCTCAGAGCTTTTAAAGATATTAAGCATAGCAAGATACATGATACAAGAAACATATGAGACATTCTTTGTTTCTTTCCAACATAACCCGTGAAGGTCCGGGTTAGAATGAACCTTCAGTAACCCATGCTTATCGTAAGAGGCGACTAACGGGATCGGGTGGTCAGGCTCACTGGCTTGGTTGACACAAGTCATCGGTTCCCAATTACGCAGATCGATGCTCATGCTGTTGATCACTGTATTGTCTGGTCAAGACTTGATTATTTACAGACCGCCACCATATGGCTGGAATATTGCTGGGTGCGGCGTAAAATTCACTCTCTCGTTCCAACATATGCAAAGTTTGGACTTTTAATTCTGAACACAATGATAGCCCAAACAGAACATCTTTGAACAAGTTTGTGACTTATTTTCTTACCATATGTTTGTATCTACATCTCATAATAAAATCAGCTTTTCTCTAAAACTTGCCCTTGTTCCATTAGAACAACAAAGTATTCTTAAAGTCACTCAAATCAACTTTGTTTTACCTTATCCTACCTAACCAGCAGATAAAGTGTTGTTATAAGCCCCAAATAGTAAATGTTCAAATTAAAAACTTTCATGTGATGTCAAAACTTCACAACAATTTCTCAAATACTGTATATTTTGTGGGCTAAAAAGAGCCCCATTCCTTGTCCTGAACAACTTGGAAGCCAAGTAATATTTGCCTCGTGATGAAAAAGCAGATAAAAACGAAACATAAATTACATCCAGTTTTTCCAGCAGTGGAATTTATGTCTTCAAAAACCCCTCGTAACAACTGTGTGCTGATAAGACATGATGGAACAAAAATAAATCGCAAGACTTCCAATATGACTTACACGGCCAGATTGCTCCTGGTAATTCAATAACACCGTGATAAATGCAACACTTCTTTCCTGTTGGGTCCCCTCTGCAACAACAGTGATAAGCTCATGAATGAATGCTTTACAAGCCCGCTTCTAGCCTAATACAAAAGGTCATGTTTCCTTTCCACAAACTAGCTACCTGCTGAAGGCTTTTACTACTAAATCCTCCTCCAATCTCCCTAAAACCAGCCACTGGGATAAAACCTGTTTACTAGAATGATGACGAGGACAGGGTGCTGGCTGGTCTCGTATGTTAAATTTGACATAAATTCTCTGATTCTTCTGCCTCTGTATATTCTAACTGTATTATCTAAGGAGAGGGTGATGAGGAGAGGTTCTGTGCATGTGTAGACAAGGGATGGGTCTCGGAGGAAATAGCGTTATCTCGGAATGGGAGGCACCTTGCATTCATGGAAACATGGTGATGATAGGGAAACGTAACCGACTTGTCAGGTGTTGCTGCACGATAAGGCTGTCATGTGTATGCATCTTTGGGTAAATATGGTCGGGGTTCAAGCTTAAAAGCTTTAATGATGTAAATAAATTGCAAACTTCGAAACTTGTGTTTTAACTTTTTATTATTTTTCTATTTTTGACGTGACATTCTAAAAATTGATGTATGTAAAGACAAACACCATTTATGGCTTTTCATGACAATCAGTTGTTTGGAAAGTAGTATTTTCGTAGATTATGTTACTCATGCCAATAGGAGCAAATTGCTGCACTTAAAAAAAAGTGTAAACAAAGACCTTGCCATCCAAGCTATTGTTAGTTTTCAGAAAGGGCACATTGACCCAGTCATTTGTGATGTTGCAATTTGCTGTTCAGAGTTGCATGACTTGAGCATACCAGACAGCTATGGTGGATTTGGATTTTAGGTATTGCCCTGATTATGTTTCTAGGTTTTGCAGCACCATATTCGTACTTGTACTTCTCAAAAGGGGCTGTGGGGTAGCCTAGTGGTTAAAGCGTTCGCTCATCATGCTGAAAACACGAGTTTGATTCCCTACATTGCTACAATGTGTGAAGCCCATTTCTGGTGTTCCCCGCCATGATATTGAAGGAATATTGCTAAAAGCGGCATAAAACCTCACTCACTCACTCACTCACTAATGTAAATTAGTGTTGCACCATAGGAATACTTATACAGTATGTTAGATTACTTCCTGTTGAAATAATGTGACGTTAAATATTAACTCACTCACTCACTCCTGTTGAAATGGAATGGTGTTCAAATGCTGTCTCAGTATGTGGAAATAGAAAGGTTTTAAGCAAGCCACAGATGAGGTTCTTTTACATTTCGGCAAGGACAGCATGGTTTATATTGCACTGTGGGTGAAAATCTGGAAATAAATAAAGGAACACTTGTACTTTCATGGTTTTTTCCCTTATTCGTTTCCATGAGTATATACCACAGACACACTGAACAACTATCTACCATTGACTCAGTAAACCACAAAGTACCACTCACACACTGAACTACCAGGTACCACAGGCTCACAAGACCATGAAGTACCTCTGACACATAGAACATAGCACCATCAGCACACTGAACACCAGCAGCAGTACCAAAATATCACAGTTGACAATACAGTATATAGAGCACCACTCCCCTGCCCATAGACTAATGCTTAGTCTCTGAATATATATAATTTTGATAATAACAAACAAGCCCATATAAATTGAAAAGGAGCCCCAGTGAGACCAGAGGTTCAGAACCTGAGGAAATCTAGACTTGCTTTATTTAGGGCTTTAGCACTGCAGAGAGGGCTTGGCAGTAGGAAAAATAATGTGGTTCAGGGACTGTGAGACAGACTACCCTGCCCACTTCCCAGTTACAATGGCAGGGAGTCAGATATCCTTCAATGAAACTGCCTCTGAGGTGCAACAAGGAAGCACAGAGATATAGTTCCACATCTTTTTGCACCAGTCTGAGCCACAGTTGAGGAGCATTTCCTGAAGTTATCACCAGAGTCTGTGCTGAACGGCATTAGCCCAGCATTAGTTCTGACACCACACTATCAATGTTACATGTTGTCCATTTTTTGTGGCCCTCGGGAAAGCTTTGGAGGAACAACAGTGCTTTGTACAGATGATAACATGCTTCAGTGGGCTAAAGTACTTTTGTAATATCTCAGTTTATTTTACTGATTTGGTGGTGGAAGAGAGTGGCAGAAGGTGGTGGATCATCTTTTTGAACAGTGTTTCAGTAATAAGCCAGTTTATAAATGCACCATGGCCATTTTTCTTAATCATAACAAACACTTATATATTTAAATGCATTTGGAAATATATTTGTATTCCATTGTACTGAAAGTAGATTTATTACAACTCTCATTTAGTAATATTTTTCAATGTTATTTATTCAAGAATTTTTTATCATAAATTGCCAAATGTACCTGTGCAAAAAGTACAACTCTTTTTCCAAATTGCTGCATCTGCACTTGTATATATCCAAGATATATATTTCTCTGGAGAAAAAACTAGAACAGGTCTGTGCTGATATCTCAAGGATCATAAACTGGGAACATCTAGGCTTCAAACTCAGACAAGGGGATCCTGGCATTGCTATGGGAAGCAACTCTGCAAGAAGAAGCACCTCAGACCAGTAAGCAACACATGCCCATAATGACCTGTGAATGACATAAACCAATGTATACAAACTGTATACTGTATACTGAGAAACACCATGACTGGAACACCTTGTTTGGATTCTGAGTTAGACTAGGTCACCAACAATATATGACTGTCATAAGACATAACTCAATCGATCGGGTTGTCAATCTCAGCTCATCAATCTTTGTTGTAGTCTTGTTATCAAACACTGATAGGACCCGTGAAGATCCAGGGTAGAATAGGTCTTCAGCAACCCATGCTTGCCACAAAAGGCGACTATGCTTGTCGTAAAGAGGCGACTAATGGGATCGGGTGGTCAGGCTCGCTGACATGGTTGACACATGTCATCGGTTCCCAATTGCGCAGTACGATGCTCATGCTGTTGATCACTGGATTGTCTGGTCCAGACTCGATTATTTACACACCGCCGCCATACAGCTGAATTTTTGCTGAGTGCGTCGTAAAAACTAAACTCACTCACTCACTCAAACACTGATAGTGTCAATCATTGCTCATAATATCAATCACTGCAAACAGTTGGGGAAAGCACTAATTTAAAATGTCCTCTTTATAGTGATAAAAGCAAATCATGTATTACCCCAGAAGTGTGGTATGCCTATTTCAAGATTTGTTAAACCCGAATCAACGAACTGATCATTTGTTGTTTGGTTATTCAGTTTTAGATTTTATCGAAAGCCATTCATGTCGTGATTGTAACAAATTCCCATTTACTGACAAACTGTTATCTAGTCGCATTACTGAGAAAGAAATCCAGGGCCCCGTTTCAGAAAGCTCTCGTAGCACTACGACTATCGTAAGTCAATGTTACACTATAGAAAGTACGAGAAAAGTTACGAGATCTTAGGCTTACGAGAGCTTTGTGAAACAGGACCCAGGACACTATTAATTGCAGAATCCTGGAAAAGCCCCAGGAGAGGATGGCATACCGCCTGAATTCTCAAAACTATGTTTTAAAATAAATATTTTTTACCTTGTTTACTCTTCTTATTTAATACAAAAAGGATGTCATGGTAAAATGTACAATCTGTAAAAATGTATATGTATGGATCTGTAAAAGGCAGGTGTAAGGATTAGTTGCTGCATTCCACACCTCTAGTGGGGTATGACAAGGGTACGTTTTGAGCCCTGTCCTGTCTATACTCTTTATTAATGAGCCTGTGCTAGAAATGTATGCTGCCTGTGACCATGGTGTATTTGTTACCCAAAATATAGAAGATCAGATGTTACCTTCATTTGCCAATAACATTGTGCTTTAATCGTATACTGTTCGGGGCTTGCAGGGACAGCTAGATGTTTTAAATACATATTGTTCGAAATGGGGATTGCGTGTAAATCGTGATAAAACAAACGTTACTGTCTTTAGAAATGAAGGAATAATATTTCAGTATGAATCATGGACACTGGATAATGTGAAGATAAAGTCGGTAACTTACTATAAATATCTTGGAATTGTGTTTACCTCACGGTTAATATGGTCTAAAGCATGTCAAACCCTCGCCATGAAAGCACGTAAGGACATGGGACCAGTCTTTCATTTGTTCAAAAATAATAGTTTAATAGATTTCTCAACTGCTTACAACATATGTGATAGTAAAATCGCTCCAGTATTAATGTATGAGTCGGATATATGGGGTACTAAATATCATGACACAATTGAAAAGATACAAGCATGCTATTTTAAAGGTTTTCTAGGTGTGGGTAATCTCGCAGCAAACCAAGGTATTCTGGGTGAAACTGGATTCCACTGTGTGTTTAAAAAGACGCAAAAACGGGTAATTAAGTACTGGATTAAGCTTTTGTGAGTGAATGAAATTCGATACCCCTTCCAAAGTTATGTTATACTTAAAGTTTTAAATGAGAATGGTAAGGTCAATTGGGAATCTTATGTGAGAAAAATATTATTTAATAGCAGTTTTGTATATGTGTTCATATACCAAGATGTTGTTGATAAGAACATGTTTTTAACTGCATTTAGAAGACATATCTAAGATATATTTATTTTCAAAAATGGTATCACAGTTTAGAATCGTCTGCTTTTTTAGTGCAATAATATAATATAATAATATATAATCTCTTTAGCAACTTGAATTATATATAACTGTACTCTGAGACAAACAATTAGTTAGAGCAATGTGTAAATTTCAAATATTCACAACTTTCGAGTCAACATTATCCATAAAAGGTCATTGTTAAATATGCCTCATACAGAATCTATATGTAAAACCTGTGACCTGCATTTGGTAGAAGATCTGTCATACACACAGGTTAAAAATGGCTGACAAATTAAGAACTGATGTCTTCATGTAGCAAAGGTGATGCAAGGCAAATACAACCAGGAACCAGCCTTCCTGAGCAGGGTTTCCTTGCAGTCGTCTTGCGTTACAACCTTTGTTGGGAGTAGCATCGCTCTGATGAATTCTGTGTACACACATATATGAAGTAAGGAATTGTTATGTTCATCAATGAGATACAGGGAGATAACTGATGTTGAATAAACAAATAAAAATATCCTATACCGTCATAAATGAATATGTATTTTTATATGTGTGGCTTTACTTTGTTAGCAAAATATTTTTTATTATAACAGCATAAAATATGTCCCTTTTAGAGCTATGATTCATGTAATACATCAAATGAAAATATATAGAATCGTGATCTTTCACAAGATTGTTAGTACGATCTATTCTACATGTTGAAAGTGTATCTTCCATATGAAAGCATGCATTGTTTCCTTTTTGCTCATTTTAATCTTAATTTCAAAAACATGTTGAAAATAAATCTTAGATAATATTCATTACCATGCATCTAGAAAATTTGTATGAAATATAAAAACATCATCAGACGCTCCTTATCCAACAAAGTTTTTATTGCAGCTTGTGTCAGTTTGTTTCAAAAGGCTTAATGCTGTGACAGACCGAAACCTAATACACGATAAGAGCACATATGCTTGGTTGTTTTTCATCCATTTTTTCGCTGTTTTTTTTCTTTGATGCAAGCCTTCTGCACTTTCACATAGCACGTACGGGTCAATTACCGTACGCTCAGCACATTCTACAGCTGTAACATGTTTTTTCAGTAAGGCTGCAAAAATCTATGAGCTTTTTATTGTCTTCAGAACTGAATTAAACTGAATGCTGCATGTTGTGCTGTCTGTAGATCATGCAGAACCCCTATAAATGGTGTTAACAGACTGGTCGGGGAACCATGAGGAGAGTTTGACAGTAGCAGAGACAGAATGGAAGTGTCTTACAGTGAATTTTCATGCAGGTTTCCGTTGGGTTATTTTCCATTAATATGGTATAAATTATAAAAGAGAATAAAAAATAGACATGGTGAATATGTTTTATCAGAAATGTTTAAAAAGTAATGGATCTTATGTGCTGCTTGACGTATAATACCAACAGGGTAGTCTAATGGTTATAGTGTCATTCATAGCACTGGAGATCCAGGTTCTATTCCCTACATGGTTACAGGGTGAAAGCAGAGATGCCAACCTCTACGATTTTATCGTAGTCGCTACATGTTCAATGTTCTCATAGAGGTGTCTCTCTGGAACATCATGATGTTGTGGTGGTACATGTTCAATGTTCTCACAGAGGTGTCTCTCTGGAACATCATGATGGTGTGGTGGTACATGTTCAATGTTCTCATAGAGGTGTCTCTCTGGAACATCATGATGTTGTGGTGGTACATGTTCAATGTTCTCATAGAGGTGTCTCTCTGGAACATCATGATGTTGTGGTGGTACATGTTCAATGTTCTCATAGAGGTGTCTCTCTGGAACATCATGATGTTGTGGTGGTACATGTTCAATGTTCTCATAGAGGTGTCTCTCTGGAACATCATGATGTTGTGGTGGTACATGTTCAATGTTCTCATAGAGGTGTCTCTCTGGAACATCATGATGTTGTGGTGGTACATGTTCAATGTTCTCACAGAGGTGTCTCTCTGGAACATCATGATGTTGTGGTGGTACATGTTCAATGTTCTCATAGAGGTGTCTCTCTGGAACATCATGATGTTGTGGTGGTACATGTTCAATGTTCTCATAGAGGTGTCTCTCTGGAACATCATGATGTTGTGGTGGTACATGTTCAATGTTCTCATAGAGGTGTCTCTCTGGAACATCATGATGTTGTGGTGGTACATGTTCAATGTTCTCACAGAGGTGTCTCTCTGGAACATCATGGAACATCATGATGGTGTCTCTGTCATGATGGTACATGTTCAATGTTCTCATAGAGGTGTCTCTCTGGAACATCATGATGGTGTCGTGGGTACATGTTCAATGTTCTCATAGAGGTGTCATGTTCAATGTTCTCACAGAGGTGTCTCTGGAACATCATGATGTTGTCGTGGTACATGTTCAATGTTCTCACAGAGGTGTCTCTCTGGAACATCATGATGTTGTGGTGGTACATGTTCAATGTTCTCACAGAGGTGTCTCTCTGGAACATCATGATGTTGTGGTGGTACATGTTCAATGTTCTCACAGAGGTGTCTCTCTGGAACATCATGATGTTGTGGTGGTACATGTTCAATGTTCTCACAGAGGTGTCTCTCTGGAACATCATGATGTTGTGGTGGTACATGTTCAATGTTCTCACAGAGGTGTCTCTCTGGAACATCATGATGTTGTGGTGGTACATGTTCAATGTTCTCACAGAGGTGTCTCTCTGGAACATCATGATGTTGTGGTGGTACATGTTCAATGTTCTCACAGAGGTGTCTCTCTGGAACATCATGATGTTCTCATAGTGTCTCTCTGTCATGATGGTACATGTTCAATGTTCTCATAGAGGTGTCTCTCTGGAACATCATGATGTTGTGGTGGTACATGTTCAATGTTCTCACAGAGGTGTCTCTCTGGAACATCATGATGGTGTGGTGGTACATGTTCAATGGATGACAACTGAAGGTTTCCCTTACAAAATTGGGTGTTCTCTTTTTGCCTGCAGGTATTGTTTAGGTATTAAAATCAGTGAACCATACTAATCCTTAGAACAATTGGGATTAAGGCTATAGTCTGTATTAGAAATGCATGCATGCCAGCAAATTAGGAGAAATGGTAAAGTTTATCACATTTTGTTTATTGCATATAGCACCCACAAATACAATGCATTGTAAGCAGAATGCAAAGAAAACACTGAATCCAAGTTGTGGTGAAAAATGTTTGTCAACATATTAAATATGAATTCAGTATCCTGGTATCCATAACATCAAGCTGAAGGTTGTATTTTTCAAATTTGAGAAAAATATTCAAATATTTTGAAAAATTGAGACAATTTCAAAATTTCCAATCCCAAAGTGCAAATACAAATTGTGGAATATCCGTCCCCTGCTACACCAAACACCAGCCATTCATTAACGACTGATAATTAGTAATTCCTCATATTTTGTTTGTTATTATCTAATTATTGTGCAATGAACATTAAAGCAACAAAAATAATTCTTTATTGAAAATATGTCATGAAAATATGAAATATTTATTAAAAACATTTTCTTCAAATATTACACACAAAAAGCAAATCAAACATATCCATCTACACATATATCAGCACATCAGGCAATATTATCCTATCAAAAACATACAAAACATAAAATAAATAACCCAAGACCTCTCCAACAGAATATAAAACTCATTCACCCTATGATATCTGACATGATTCAAGTCCTTCCATATTTTGATCACATACACAGAAACTGATTCCAACCCCGTGCAGGTGCTGATCCACCAGAGAGAGGCTCAATATGGCCGCCTGGCGTGATTCCATCTGCTCCTGATATCATTACGTTACAAAACCTGGCTGTTCTTTTTGTTGATGAAGGCCTGGCTAAACATGGTGCACACAAGGGGTTAGCTTAAATGCAGAAGTCATGCATACAGGCCCTGGTACAACAGCAAGATAATATTTGACTTCATGTTTTTGAAATTTTTGACAAATGTTGTACAGAAAATAGTCATTAGACCATATGGTTTTAGTTTGTTTTAGAGATAAGCCTGTCCGTATAATGGAAAAAATAACAAAAAAAAGATTTTGTTTATTATTTGTTCAGATCAATTGAATTTGCTGATTGCAAGTCTTTTCTTTCAAGGACTTTTTAATGGGTAACTATAGGTTTTGGTTGACAGAGAATCCTTGCAAATTTTGATGTATTGTGTCAAAACATTATTTCTATAAATCATGATGACTATCCTAATTAGTGAGAGTATCAGATTTGAAAGTTGTACATACTCCCCTTTTGAAAATCTAAATAAAATCTAAATAATTTGATTAGTGTCATGAACACTTAATGACACCACATCTTACTTGAATCTTTATCATATATTATCAAATAAACCCCTGGCATTGGAAAGACAGCATTTTAACCCTTAGATAGATAACACAATCTTCTCTCACATGCCCTGCAATCAAATGTTATATACTACCTCCAAAGGATTCTGTGGTCAAGTGGAAAGAGCAGGTTGCCATGTCAAACCAAACAATGGTACTAAATGGACCTTTTTTGTTACCCTGCCTGAAGCATTAAAGCTACAAACAAGGTATGGCTGGCTAAGAGACTGTATGCCATGTCTGAGCAGGACATTCATGCTATACAGGCACCCATGAACACATGTGTCTTTATAAATGCAATAATTCTGACCGAGACATTTAACTGTCACATCCCCCATTTGCCACTCAGGTCTGGTTTGATGTCAAGTTTTATTCAGAAGAAGCCTTTTGATTGGTTGTTATTTTCAAGCTCATAAGTGAGAAGAGAATTATGTTGTAAGTTAGTGATAGAAGCTATGATGACAAGTGGGTATTAATACTTACAGAAAGGAGACAAAACAGACTGGACAATGTATGATACCGGTAATTCAGTTCTAGAGAATGAGTAATGTGATGGAAGTGGTGCAAAAAGAAAGAAAATAACTACTGACAAGATATTGAATAACCACATAGAAATAAAAGTACTAGGCAAACTCAATAGTGTAAAATCAGGAGAGACTGGTTGTAGCTTGCAGGCAAGGCTTCAAAGGCTTAGATGTGTGTATTTAGAATTTACTTGATTCCTTGATTGTATCAGAGGTGTCGTGCGGGAAGGCTAAAATTTATTTTTCAGATGTCCCGGAAGGCTAAAATGTATATTTCGGATTTCCCGGGAGAGCTAATTTCCAAGGGAGTAGGGGTGTACCGCCAAAGCTAAAGATACGGTGCTGGGAAGCATAATCCATGTCGGGAGTCAATAGTTTAAATTTCTTTTCAAAACATTGTTATAGTAGAGTGTTTATCTTCTTCGCTTGTTTAGACCTTTAAGATGAAGGTATTTACAGGAGAATCACCATACAGATCCTTTTCAAAACTCTTTACCTCGGTAGTAACAGCGAGACTTGTTTCATGGTGTGAAAAATACAACATCATCTCTGATGCTCAGTTTGCTTTCAAAGCTGGTTACTCTACTGTGGACGCTGTATTTATACTACAAAACCTGATTTCTTCTCTGTACACCCAAGGAAAGACGAAATTATATTGTTGCTTTGTTGATCTAGCCAAAGCATTTGACTCCATTAGTCGTGTCAGTCTATTTCTAAAGTTCAATCTGGTGGGCATCAGAGTTAGACTATGGAAAATTATCGTGTCTATGTATGACACTGTGAAATCATGTGTTAAACATGATGGTGAGTTAACTGGCTTCTTTCTGTGCTCCCTGGGTATTAAACAAGGGGACGTAATGTCACCGATTCTTTTTGTCCCTATATCTTGAAGATATTGAAGTAGCACTACAGGCAAATATTCGACACTTCTATTACCTCTACTATGATGTATGGCTGTGAAGTGTGAGGTATTGTGAAATATTCGGAAGAATTCACTTAAAATTGTGCAGTCGTATTTTGCAGATCAATGCCAAATCATCTACAGTTGCTGTATAAGGCGAACTTGGGAGGTACCCTTTATATGAAAATAGGTATATCCGTGTGTTACGTTATTGGTTTAAGTTATTACAAAGTGACAACTGTATACAACAGGTTCTTTATGGTTTATGTTTAAATGGTCTAAATAATGGTTATAAATCATGGTTACGTATAGTGTTAAACTTAAAATTTGTTTGTATGAACTTGGTTTGGGGCATGTTTAAGAATTTCCAATTGTAAATGTTGATAATCCTGTTTTCTTTGTAATTTGTCAGAGCCTACGTGTGAGGCGCACCGTGTTCATCCAGCCATAACATTGCATTGCAAGTACCTGGAAGGCTACGCTCATTGAACCGAGAAGCGTCATGATTTTTGCCTTCCCGGCCATGAACCGTATCAGAGACCATGAAATAAATTTATTTTATGGTCTCTGGTTGTATGTAGGCATGCCAACCATCAAGTACATTGTGATCTAATTTCAATCTCTGGATTAGTTAAACCAACAAGGGTTTGAAATAATAAACATATAATCCTTTCCCAGGTTATAAATTGCAGTTTTCATGTTTTAGCAGATGTTAATAGCAAATCTTCTGCAATTACCACCATTTTTTAATGGTTAACCACTCTGAAATAATCCTTGGATTATCTCCCTTTCAGCTGGTAGCCAGTCTCAATTGAAAATGAAATTCTAACCTCTACAAGTATCCATATGTAGCTGATCTCTTAAATCCTTGGGCACTTTATCAAATTTATGAGATGATCAAATTAAGTGCAGCAGTAATTTGGTGAAACTAGATCCTGTGGTTGTAACTGGTGCAGCCATTTTGTTTATAAGCCCTCTTAGTGACCCTTACAGGTCTGTCACAAGTAATAAAGCCTATCTTCATGGTGCACAGATTACTTTGGTTCAGGCAGGTGATAATCTCTGTTATGTGCTAGGTGATGCATGAAACAAAGACTTGATGAGACTGATATTGTGTCTGATTCTTGTGCTGATGGGGTCGTTGTCGGCACGGGTACTACAGATATGTATCCCAGGTACAGTATACAGAAACGTACGCCTGGCCATAAGGAGAATACAGAAACGTACCCTATGACGATTCCATTCCCATTGTGTCATATTCTTGACATGAACTGTCATACTGTTGTATTAGATACATTTGATTGCGGTATGTAAGTAATGAGAATACACAGTAACGGATATTTCGCGATGCACATGAATACCACTCGGAATCAGTTGAACGGGAACAACTACATATGGTTTCGGGTTTGGATCACGGAATATGGACTCGTCCGCCTTTTATGGTACCGAGTACGTTTCTGTATTTTGACTTTGTTTAGGGTACATATCTGTATACAGAAACGTACCTGGGGTACGTATCTGTAGTACCTGTGCCGACAACAACCCTTTCAGCCCTAGGATGAGTACATTCCACATTATTGCTTTTTCTTTTTTGTATAATTGTTTTTATTTTTCATACCACTTTTACAGTTGCACATGGGCTGCAACATGCATGGTAGAGTTCAAGTCAAGTTATACAGAGCATGTAACAACAACAATGCAGAATAAATCAGTTGTTGAACAGGTTGTGATATGTCAACCAGAATTTGTAAAAAGCGTCGATTCTGAAGCTTAACATAGCAGCATATTTAGTTAAATTGTAATATTGAGTAAGCTTTTTTTTTTTTACATGAACTGAAATTTGACATATTTCCAGATGTTTTACAATTAAAAATAATAGTTTTGAAAAGGATGAGGGTCACATTAATTGGATCATAATGTTTATGACGGAATCCAAGAAGAATTTGTTGTCTTGTGAAATTCAAATTTAAATCTATTTTATCATTTAGCCAATCTTGG